AAAAAGAGAAAAGAAAAACAAATTCCCTCCACCCGCAAAATGTAAACCAGTTTAGGCACCATTGGTGAGCCTGCTATATAACAGGTTAATACTAGAAACAATTTTATATCCCTGTCCAAGTTTAGAACCTTTACTATGTACTTGACAGCTCAGTATTAGCTTGGCTGCCTGTGACCCTGAGTTGTTGTCCAGGCCAAACTATACAATTCCTGAAATGGGACATATTGTCTTCCTTAAAAAGAGAACTGTGGGGCCAGATGTGGTGGCACACACCAGAGGCAGAGGCAGGCAGCTTTTTGTGACACAAAGTTTGAGACCAATTTGGTCTACATATCAAGTTCTAGGCCAGCTGAGACTATATAGTGAGACTCTATCTTAAAAAGAAAGAAAGAAAGAAAGAAAGAAAGAAAGAAAGAAAGAAAGAAAGAAAGAAAGAAAGAAAGAAAGAAAGAAAAAGAAAGAAAGAAGAAAGAGAAGGAAAAACCCAAAGTTTTCAGAAAAAAGTGATGGGAAGATATGTGTCTTTTTGAGACAGGGTCTCCCTGTAGCTCCAGTTGTCCTAGAACTCTCTATGTAACCAGGCCTGCCTCTATCTCCCAAGTGCTGGGATTAAAGGCGTTTGCCACCACGCCCAGCTGAGAATTGTAAATTTTTTTTTTAATATTTTATTTATTATTTTTATTTTATGTACACGAGTGTATTGACTGCATGTGTATAAATACACCCATGTCATGCAATGCCTGTAGTGGTCAGAAGAGGAACTGGAGATATGGATGGTTGCTAGTTGCCATGTCGAACCCAGGTCCTCTGCAAGAGCAGCCAGTGCTCTTAACTGTTGAGCCATTTTTCCAGTCCAGAATTCTAATTTTGCAAAGAGTAGTTTTGTTGATTTGTCTTGTAGTTTAGTCTTTGTTTTAATAGTGTCTCACTTTGTAGGCCAGCTTGCCTCAATCACAGCAATTTTTGTACCTCAAGCTAAGATTACAAGTGTGGGCTACCAACCCTGGTTTCAGTGATTTTTTTTTTTTTTTTAATTGCTGCTATTGTTTCTTTGCTTTTTGTGCTGGTAATAGGATCCTGGACCTTATGCACACTGGGTAAGCAAGCACTCTGGCACTGAGCCATACCAACACTCAAGTTTGCATACCATAAAGATTTTATTCCTCATACAAACTAAAATTGAGAAAACCTACTCTTACAAATTTAGGAGAAAGGAAGATTTTTAAGGAAAAGCACTCACCTCGGCTATAGAGTGGGCTACTGCTCAGCGGGGGTGGGACTGTGGGGTTTGGTTTCTGGGCCTTCGGCTGCACTATGATTTGGTAGCCCTGCATGAGACGCTGGCAAATGAACTCTTCAAACACCTGCTGGGCTGTCATTTGTACACCCTCCTCATCCCTCCTAGAAAAAAAGGTGATTGAGCAAGTGGCTTTTCTTGACCTTGGGCAGTGACATGTAATGGTTATCACACCTCTTTCCCTCATCCCAGATTATCATTCCACAGCAGCTCATAAATGAATTATTTGTAAACCAGTTTTAGGAGAAATGATCAGTTCAACGAGGTAGACAAAGAAAGCAGGTTAATAATTAAATGCCCAGATGTGTTTCCTTAGAAACAAGATAAGCAACAAAATTTGAAAAAGAAACCAACAGCTCTTGCATCATAACACTGCCCAAATGCTAAAGGAGGTGACAAAAGATGAAAAGCTCAGTGTTCTATACATGTGTTTGGACATACCCAAAACCCTCACAAACAAAGCTGAGGTCTTTTTTCTCTGACACCAACCTGTCCATGTCTGCTTCTGGGAGGAGATCATAGCAGCCTTCTGTGTAGTCATTCTGCAGGCCCTGACGGTCAGGGAAGTAGTCGGTGGTAAGGGGGAGGCATGCAGGAGTAGTAAGAGACTTCCAATCCACTCCAACTGTGCAACAGAAGCCTGGCACTACAGGGGGAGCAGACAGTGTCAGAACTGCCTCGCATAACAGGGAAAAGGTACATGTGGTCACCATGGCAGGTTTGGGACATGGGAGGAAGGGAGAGAGTAGGAAAAAAAAGTTCATGATAAAGGTGATAAAAATTGCCAGGATAGGGAGGGAGCAGAGGGAAGGGGATGGGGGAGGGAGAGAGAGAAACAGAGTTTGTTAGACAACACAACACATGCTTATCCAATCCCATCATGCAAATGGGATTCATAGCCGCTATTTTTCATTTTCTGCTGATCATGAGCTATAGCTGCAATGCCAGTGAGGTTACTGCAGGGCAGGCATGGTTACATATCAAAGCAAATTAATGTTCTGAGGGCAGACCAGAGCCTCTCCTCTCTGAGGACTGCAAGGTAGCTGGGTAGGGAGAGGAGCAGAGCTCAGCCTAATTGGGAGCAAAATAGCATATAGTAGCAGAGATAAGGATTGCTTTCAGAATCACACAAAAAAGTAACAGCTCCAAAAGGACAGGAAGAAAAATCCAAGGAAGATGTCTGGGAAAGTTACAAGGCTGGGACTTTTGGAGACAAAGAGTTGAATAATCTAGAAATGAAAGTTGCAGTCAGCAGCGTGGGCTTGACCATACCATCTCTTTCTCAACCCTAGAAACTACTAGCATTTTGAATCAAGTGAGTCTTTGTTATAAGGGGCTGTACTGGGACTGAAGGAGGCTGAGCAGCATCATTGGACTCTTAACTCACAAGATAGCAGTGGTATGCTCTACTGTGAAACTCAAAAATGTTTGCAGATGTCCCCACAAATCTGCTTGGGAGCAAAACTCACCCCACTGAGGTAAAGTACTTCTAAGGCAGTGCTACGGTCTGGATATGGTTTGTGGCCCTATAGATTCATGAGTAAGGGGCTTGGTCCCCAGTGTGGAGATATGAGAAACATGGATCCTTTAAGTGTCAGAGCCTAGAGGGAGGCTACTGGAGGTGTGTCCTCAAGGACAGGGTAGTTTCCCTGGGACTTGAGGCAGTTGCTGTGCTTTAGCGTCCATGTTCTTCTCTTGGGTGGCACACACTTTTAATCTTCGTTCTCTCCCTCTCTCTCTCTTTCTAATCATGATGTCATCCACCCCCATGTGCTGCAGCTGGTGAGCTCTTGCCAGAACCAGTGCCATGCTGTTTGGAATTTTATCCTTTAAAACAACTATGAACTAAATACACCCACTTCTCCCTTTGTGGTGTGTGCGTGCATGCGTGCGTGTATGTGTTTGTCTTTGAAAGAGTCCTGCCATGCAGCCAAGATTAGCCTTGAGTGTGCAATCCTTCTGCCATAGCCTCCTGAAGGCTGGAATTACAGGTATGCAGTACACAATGGACTTTAATTTACTTTTCTTTATACAGTTAGTCTACCTCAAGAGGCAGAGGCAGGTGGATCTCTGTGAGTTCAAGGTCAGACTGGTCTACCTTCCAGGCCAGCTGGGGCTACAGCTTATGCAAAAAGCACCTCCCCCAATAGTAAATGGATTAAGTTAATCATCAGTGGGGACAAAGACTCAGTGATAAACATCCATTGTCACATAAAGCTTGTGAGGTTGTAGGGATGTTCTTCCCTGCTACCTTGTTATTATAGATATTTAGATGCTTTTTAATTGTTCAGCTATTTAAATAGACAAGGATGGTTTTTTTTAAAAAGTAAACTATCCAAGTATTTTACTATAGGTGTGTGAAGAGTTCTAAGAACAGCCCGTTATTTCTGATATTTTTCAGAGCCAGTATTAGGCATAAGAGCAAAGACTAGCTTTTGACTGACATGAAGGCCTTATGGGAAGTCCACTAGTTTTCCCACATTCCCTGAACTACGCACTCTGGAAGAGGTCATTTGGCATCGTAGAGAATGAAGAGTGCCCCACCCCGACCCACTGCCTTCCTGTATCCCAGAGACATGTGGACTTCTGGACTGCCCTCTTCCCACAGGGCTTCCTCATACTCTGACTATCCTACACTCCCTAGCACCTGCCTCCTAGTAGTCAGTTGCCCCCTCTTACTTGGGTCTGGAGAGGTAGAAAAGTTGTCCTCTAAAGAATCCTTATTCTGGGTCCTAGGATTCATACCTAGAGAAAGAAAAAACAGCTTGTCTGAAAGAAAGTTATTCCTCAAAAGGGTTCTGACAGCTATAGCTGAAAAAATTTTTTAAGTTAAAAATAAGCACTCGGGAGGCAGAGGCAGGCGGATCTCTGTGAATTCAAGGCCAGCCTGGTTAAAAATAAAAACACAAACCAAGTGCCAATTCTGAACTGAGTATTTCAAATAGCACAAAAGAATCAGGAAAAAATGAGCAATCTGAAATTTGGGAATGAGCTAAAACTTCAAAGTTATCAATAACATTCTTTGTCTAATGAGGTTTTCTGACAAGTAAACTGCTACTTACTGTAAGAAAATGGACACATTTTAAAGTAATTTCAACCAATTAATCTTTTTTTTTTTTTTTTGGTCTTTTTGAGACAGGGTCTCCCTGATGGCCCAGCTGTCCTGGAAATCACTATGTAGACCAGGCTGGCCTTGAACTCACAGAGATCCGCCTGCCTCTGCCTCCCGAGTGCTGGGTCTACAGGTGTGCGCCACCACGCCTGGCTCTGACTCTCTTTTAATGATAACAAATACTAATAAATTCCTTGTGTAAGCTTAGACAAAACAAGCTACAACCTGGGAGAAAGCATTTGAAAAATCACACCCTCTGGCAAAGGACCTCAGGAATAAAGAGAGACCCCTTAAAAATCAGGAGGAAGAAAATGAAGAATCAAATGAATAAATGGGCAAAATATTTGAACAGACATTTCAAACAGCATATACAGAAGGCAAAATGGACACATAAAAATAGATTTCACGGGGCTGGAGAGATGGCTCAGTGGTTAAGAACACTGGCTGTTCTTGCAGAAGACCCGGGTTGGAATCCTAGCACCCACATGGCAGCTAACAACTATCTGTAACTCCGGTCCCAGGGGAGACGACAGCCTCTTCTGTCCTCCATGGGCATTGCATGACACGGTTGCACTTACCTACACACAGGCAATACACACATGCACATAAAATAAAAATAATAAATATTTAAAAAAAAAATAGATTTCACATCAAGCGTGGTGGCACACACCTTTAATCCCAGCAGTCAGGAGAAGAGGCAGAGGGATCTCTGTGAGTTTAAGGCCAGCCTGGTCTACACTATTATTCATCTAGAACATGGCAAATTAAACAGTAAAACGTCTCTATGTCTGTTTTTTTTTTCTTTTTAAATTTTATTATTATTTTTATTTTAATGTGTATGAGTATATTGCCTGTATGTAGGTAAGTGCACCTGTGCTGTACAATGACCCTGGAGGTCAGAAAAGGGCGTCAGAGCCCCTGAAACTGGAGTTACCATGTGGGTGCTGGGAACTTGAGTCCTTTGCAAGAGCAGTCAGTGCTCTTAACCATGAAGCCATCTCTTTAGCCCTTCTGTTCATTTATTTCATTCTGAGACATGGTCTCATGTATCCCATGCTAGCCTCAAACTTGCTATAAAGCTGAGGAAGAAACTTCAGATCCTCCCTGCCTCTCCTTCCCCAGTGCTGAGATTATAGGCCTGTGCCACTAAGCTCAGTTTTTTATGCAGTGCTGGGGACTGAACCCAGGGATTCATCCATCCTAGGTACTGTACTCTACCAACTTGGCTACATCTCAATCCAGTTTGTCTACTAACTGCCCGGTGGTCCCTGCTAGGCAGCAGAGTGAGACATGAAGAAGACATCTACAGAGCCTCACAACAATGCTTATATGAAATCCTTGCGAGCCAAAAGGGAAACCCCACAAACATTATTCCTGAGAAACATGACCCATGTATGAATCAGGCCTAAATGCAGGAGAAAGTGTGACTACTAGAACACACTAGAATACCTGAAGATAGCACAAGTTCAGGACAAGGGAGATCGAGGCAGGGTCACAGGAAGGGTTTTCCTGTCTTTTCTGCTGTTTTTATTTTAATGAGTGAAATGTTTACTGGTTGTACATTTCAACTCTTTGTCCAAAAACAAAGATTCTATGTTTTTATCCTAAAAAAGACCAAGTTACTGGGCTGGACTACTGGCTGCTCTTGCAGAGGACCTGGGTTCTATTCCCAGAACCCACAACGGCAGCTAACAACTCTCAGTAACTCCAGTTCCAGGGGAATCCAATACCCGATTCTGATCTCTGTGGGAATTGCATAACACGGGTGTACTTACATACATGTAGGCAATACATTCATACACATATATAAATATATTTTTTAAAAAGTCCAACTTACTTTTGGCCCTCACAACACTATGAGAAAAATGATCCCACTTGGTGGATTTTCTTTGTTTTATTTTGTTTCATGTCATAAATTAACAGGAAACATATTAACATCCAATAAATAAAATATCTTCAGAACATGTATTTTTCTTTCTTTTGGTCTTTTTGAGACAGGGTCTCCCTGTAGCCCCAGGTGTCCTGGAACTCACTATGTAGACCAGGCTGACCTTGAACTCACAGAGATCTGCCTGCCTCTGCCTCCCTAGCACTGGGATTAAAGGTGTGAGCCACCACGCCCAGCAGCTATTTATTTTCAGCTGCAGCTGTATCAACTACCTTCCTAGATTTTGGCAAGGCAGGAAGAAAGCTGTACACATGTGGTATGTGATAGGCTGCATGGGTGTCTTCTCATTCCTCCTCACCATGATAGTGCTTTTCACTAGCATACTCTCTTACGATCACTATGGCAGTAGTGGCTGCAGGGTACCCCAAGGAGGTACTCAGCTGCCTCTGTAATCAGGTCACCCTTACCCTAGCTGATGGAATTGCTGCATGTCTGTGGCCAACATCTTAGCCCCTCTTCTTATTTGTGTTCTCCTGGGACATCTGCTGCCTCATATATGAGACTGTGGTACAGTCAAAGACCCAGGTTATTTTGAGGGTTATTTCTTTGTTCTTGTTTTTATTTGTTTGTTCTGTTTTTTTTTTGTTTGTTTGTTTGTTTGTTTCTGAAGTGCTGGGGTCAAACCCAGGGTCCTGTGTACTTTAGGGAAGTATTCTGCTACTGAGCGATATCCATAGCCCAAACGTGGGTTGTTTTGAATCACAGCACACTCCCTTATCTAACATAAACCGCACTGCACCTGAACTTCATCCTTGCTATGTACATGGGAACTGCCTCAAGGAAAATCCTAAAGGAATAACAAGCCAAAGGTTAAGAAAATTGGTGTCTTCATAATTTTTATTTCTTTTCCAGCTTTAGTATAGCAACCCCAGTTCAATAAACACTTCTGGAAGGGACAATGGTTTAGTGAATTAAGAAAGCAAACTAGGGGCTAGAGAGATGGCTCAGAGGTTAAGAGCATTGACTGTTCTTGCAGAGGACCCAGGTTTGTATCCCAGCACCCACATGGTGGCTAACAACCACCCCCAACTCCAGTTCCAGGGGATCTGATGCCCTCTTCTGACTTTCTTGGGCATTACACGAAACGGGTGCAATTACATACATGCAGGCAATATACTGATACACATAAAATAAAAATAATAAAATTTTTAAAAAAGAAAGTAAGCAGGCCAGGCATGGTGGCACATGCCTGTAATCCCAGCACTTGGGAGGCAGAGGCAGGTAGATCTTTGTGAGTTCGAGACCAGCCTGGTCTACATAGTAAGTTCCAGGTCAGCTGGGGCTACAGGGAGACCCTGTCTCAAAATGGCTAAAAAAAAAAAAAAGAAAGCATTCATTTCCTAGCACCCACACAGCAGCTAACAAATGACAAGATGTCAGGGATCTGGCATCTTCTGTTCTCCACAGGCTCATGTACACACATGGCACACATGCATACACCCAGGTACACACACATAAGACAAACAAGTAAATAAATGAGTGAAAAAAGAAAAAGAAAAAAAAGAAAAAAAAAAAAAAAAAAAAAAAAAAAAAAAAAAAAAAAAGAAGGAAAACCAGGACTGAGAGGATGGCCCAACAGGTAAAAACACTTCCTGTATAAGCATGAGAACCCAAGTTCAAATCCCTAGAAAGCATATTTAAGGAAAAATGCCCAAAGGGGGATGAAGAGATGGCTCAGTGGTTAGGAACACTGACTGTCCTTGCAGAACACCCAGGTTTGAATCTCAGTGTCCACATGGCATTTAACAACTGTCTGTAACTCCAGTTCCAGGGGATCTGACAGCCTCTTCTGTCCTCCACAGAAATTGCATGACACAAGTGCACTTACCTACATGCAGGCAATACATGCATACACATAAAATAAAAATAATATAAAATATTTTTTATAAAAAAGAAAAAAATGCTTGAGAGGCTGGAGAGATGGCTTAGTGGTTAAGAGCACTGGCTGCAGGCAATATATGCATACACATAAAATAAAAATAATTAAAAAATATTTTTTAAAATAAGAAAAAATGTACAAGGGGCTGGAGAGATGGCTTAGTGGTTAAGAGCACTGGCTGCTTTTCAACAGAAGCTGGGTTCAGTTCCCAACACCCACACAACAGAATAACAACCACCTGCCTGCCATCTGTAACTCCAGTTCCAGGGATCTGACACACTCATCTAACCTACATGGGATGGAACTCAATTTCCTTGTAGTTACAGACCCCTTAAAGGAAGAATGACCACCTACATAAATATATCACCCTGCACTAGGAAAACAACTACAGCTACTAAGAAGCTAAAGATTGTAGAACATACACACACACACACATACACACACACACCCCACATGAATACTCAAACATAAATTAAACAATAATTTTTGTGGGTCATTCAAAAGGTTCTCACATATGACAATATAGTCTTAGAAGTAAAAATTCATTTGTCAATAAATGTGCCAAAGACAATGGGAAGACAAATAAAGAGAAATCCTTTCGGTCCAGTAGAAAGACACATGGAAACCAACAGTGGGATCATGATATGCCAAGCTGTACAACTGGGTTATGCATATGGAGCTGTATGGAAGCATGTCTAACAACTCTTGGGAAGGCATGGAGAAAAGGAAACTCCCAGGGCAAGCTGCAAAGAGGAGGCACTCTTGGAGTTGAACCATAAAGAAAAAGTGGATATTTCCAGGCAGAACAGGGCCTGAGACAGGAAGGAAGCAAAGTCTACACAGGGGATGAGAGTACACACAGGAATATGAAGACCAGTTATTCTGAGAGGTCATAACAATAGCTGGAATATAAAATAAGCACATGGATTATTAACAAAACTTCCTATTTGTTGACCACTTGTGTTTGCCTCTCACTGTTCTAAGCATTTATATGGGTTGTCACATTTATTTTTAGTTTTGCTTACAACATTTAATTTTCCCAAATATCCTCCCCACAATGAAGGAACTAAGAAGTTAGGAAACTAGCCCAAAGAACATTAGAGGTGGAGTGAGCCTTGCCTTTTAAGATTGTAGCTTGCATTTTTCCATATCCAGTTGTGGAAGTGGAGGCAGGTGAAGACACAAAGGTAGGCAGGGGACAGGGGATGGCTGGTATCAAAAGCCATGAAGAACTACTGAAAGGTTTACACATGGAAGGAGAACTCATCAGATTGGCACTTAGAAAGAGCTCACTGGTGATAGCAGTTCCCCAGAGGGGGCAAGAAGAGAACATGAAGATCATTTAGAAGCTGATTGCAATTAATGTCGGCCAGAGACAATAGAAGCTTGAACAAAAACAGGGAGAATGGAACTAAGGGTTCAACATCAGAATAAAAGGGAGCAGAAAAGGAAAGGTGGGCAGGAGAACATCAAGGCACAAGGTTAGGAGACAACACATTAAGGATGAGGCATCAAAAGTCATCCAGGCAGATAGGCAGATAGATAGCTCAGGAGTCCAAGAACAAAAAGGGTAAGCCAGAGAGCCAGGCTATAAACAAATACTTTCCCAATGTCTGCCAGGCTGGCTTGCCTGCCTGTGTGCATGTGTACACTAGAAATCTTCAGCTAAGAGGATATGACAGTGTCACCTGAGGATTTTCCATGAGAAACCCCAAATCAAGACTCTGAAAGTTCACTCTTCCCCATGGGAAATTTTAAAACTCCAAAGGACACATTTGGAGACTTACCTGGATGGCCTGGGCTACTCTAGTTACTGGATTATTCTGGGTGGATTCCACTGCTGCTACCATCTGGGTTCAATTAATTCTCCCTGCTTCAGGTCATTAGTGAAACTAGCTTAAGGTATAATCCAGGGAACCCCAGAGAATCCCTCCTCAGAACCCTAATACCCCAAAGTCAGGAAATCTCAAACTCTAGCTTCCTAAAAATGGCTCCCTGGTTTAGCAAAGCAATAGAAATGTTGTCTTTGTAACACTGTGCAGTAGCCTTGGAAAACCTGGCAGCCAAGTAACATTTAAGTACCCTGAGTATATGGCATTAAGTGCCTCCATAGCTCCAAACTTTGACTTGTTTCTCATTCAAATCAAATGAAATAAATGAATGCAGTTATGATCATTATGGGGTTCTCTTTCTGCCAACTCACTTCCCAAGCCTCATGCACACTGTGGCCTGTAGGACTATGGCTGGATGACTACCAGGGGTTGAAGAACAGTACCATTAATCCCTTTTCTACAATTTTACTTCCACAAGCCTTCCTTAAGTCAAGTTCTAGAAATGCAAGTTAATTTACAGAACACAGGCTTGCTGCAGTAGCCCCACTTTGTTGTTTAAATGTGTCCATAATCATCTTGTAAAATCCCTGTCCCTGAGGCTCTGCAGAAAATGCCTACACCTTTCCAAACTCATGTTCCCCTACACCTTAAAAGGCATTCCAACTCGAGTGTAAATGAGGACTGCATGAGTCAGGATACCTGGCTATTGGTATGAGAGATTAGTTTAATATTGTTACAATTCTAGGCATTCAGCTGCTCATGTAAATTTTATTTAGTAACATATGCGTTACTGGGATTATTGGATAATAAAAGTGTTTCCAGAAAGTAAAAACCAAACTCATACTCCACCTACCCACCACCTGCACTTAGAAGCCATACCTCCTAACTCTCTATTCAAACTTCTACCTCTTCAAGCCTGAGGTACACACTTCTCTATATAACCATGTCACCTTTCTCTTTTTTGATGTTATAAGCCAAACCACACCATGCCTCTCTGGGTCTCTCCTGACCATTTCTGTGTAAGGGTGGGTCTGTTCCCCACAACTAACAGACCACTCCCTACTCTGTCTCTGGTGCTGTCCTCAACACCTCACAGCCCTCAGTCAGGACTCCCTGAAAGAACAATGATAAATGTGGTTTGACCAACATGTTCTCGGCTAAAAAAGTAATGTGCAGCCCATTTATAATTCCATGCATTATATAGCACTACTTCTAAATAGATCACCCAAAATTGTGGCTGAAATAATCCCCAAAATAGGCATGGCCCTGCTTTTCTGGCCCTCATGTTGCTTCTAGGTGTGAGCCTGCTCTGAGCATCCCAACTCCATTACCTCTTAGATGAATTACCTGCACCACTGTTGCTAAGCAGGCTGACAGAAAGCTCTTCCGTTCCACTGAAGTTCAAGAAGGACATGCTGTCACCAGGCTGGCGGGAAGTGCTGTGCCTGCAGAGAACAAAGCCAGACCATCTGGCTTAATGTAGATCCTCAACTTTTTTCCCTGCTCATCCTGCATCCTAATGTGTGTGTGTATGTGGGCGGGAGGGACATGTCAGAGGGGTGTCAGGAGGGACGGACTCCTGAAAAATAGGCCTGAATGGTCTCCACATCCTTTAGTCATCATGTGGTGGTGCTTTATTTGAGTGCCAGCTCTGACCTCCTGCTCTGATAACCTAGCTGCTTACCTACTGTCATGCTAAACCATTCCCTCTTTCTGTCCTATGCCTCCCCCTTAGTAACAAAGGAAGGATGTGAGGTGCTTGAATGGATGCACCAGTGTTAACCTAGTACAGAAGGCCACACACTGGTCAGAGCTCTCTCCCATCTAGCCCATCCAGCCCATCCCTTTCATCCCTTCCATCCAAGGGAGATACAAGTGTCTGAAGGAAGAGCCAAAGGCTGCTCTTTGCAACGTGTTTCCCTAAAACAATGCAGAAACAGTGAGTCCAGTGTAACCCAGATCTTGCTTGTCAAATGATTTCCCTATACCAACTTTTCAGGTACTTTCTACCGATTCAGAGCTTTGGTTCAAGAACAGTGGAATTTCTCAATGATCAAAAGTCATAGGGAGGCTGCCCAAGACAGCAGCAGGAACCACCTGTCCCAGTAGTCCATCTCATTTTCATCCTTGGCCACAGTTTGGAAGAAAACTATATTTGAAGTTGACAAAATGTATCCCCAAAATAAACCAAAAGCAGACCCTGGGAAATAGCACAGGCAAAAACATCAGGCTGTTTGCTTTACCCTTTGCCCAGGGATGGGAACGACACTGGCTGTCAAAGGAGGGCCATGACCTCCTATTTTCAAGACACAAGTGTCGTTTCATTAGCAGTCTGTGCTGCATTCCTGAGTTATCTTTAGGAGTATTATGCACAGCCTCACCTTCCAGCAGCTTCATGATATGCTAATTCCAACAGCTCAGCAGAGGAGTGGGTGGGGTCCCTCTGCCTGTTACCCTGCAGCTCTGCCATATTCTGCCGGGTTTGATGATGGATCTGGATGGCCTCTCCAGATGGTCCTACACAGACAAAGAACCACTGAACGTTATTCCCACCTGACAGCTCATGCTCACACTTAAGTGCACACTTCCTTCTATCCAACTGCTAAGACACTGGAGAGATATGACAAGGAGCACAGCAAAAGGAACAGAATATCCTCAGGCTCCCACCGGTACAACTGCTCCTCCAAGCAGGCCCCATCCTACTGTTGGCCTCATGTTCATCATCTTGTCCAGTCTGTTAAGAATATTTTGGAACCCTCTGCTTCATTTATACGAGGGAGACCCCACAGAAAAACAGACACTATAGGAGAGTTAAAACAGATAAAAAGAGAAGGATGGATGAAAAAATGATTCTGTTAATACTTAACAAAGTAACAAGTGTGAGTCTAAGAAGCAGGGCATGCATGAGTGCAAAAAAGACAACAGGAGAGATCAGAATTAGTCATGTCTACTAAAAGGGGCTTCCTGGAAACACAGAATTAGACTGCTAACAAATAAGGTTACCAGAGACGAAATATTAGTAAATATTAGTAAAATCCCTAATGAAAAAAGAGGTAAAAGTGTGTGGAGATCAAGAGACAAGTAACAAAGAAAAGAGTCTCTGAGGATGGGAATGAGGAGCTAAGAGGTGGGGCTGACTGGTGAAGGGTATTAGTTATTAGACGGTCAGGTGAGCAAGAAGATGAACAAAGTCAACAGTGCCTGGAGATTGTTGTTTTAGTAATGTGGGTACAAAGGATAGGAGTGGCCACAAAGAGCCAAAGTTCAGGGAAGAAAATTCTCTTAAGAAATCTCAGCCTAGGGGTTGGAGAGATGGTTCAATCAATAAAATGCTTGCCAAGTAAGTATGAGGATCTGAGCTTAGATTTCTAGCACCCACGTAAAAAGCTGGGTATGGTTGAGCAGTGCTGGGGAGGCAGGGCAGGAGGATCCCTCAGGCTTGTTGGCCAGCTAGTCTAGCCAATCAGTAAACTCCAGGTTCAATGAGAGATCCTGCCTCAAAAAATAAGAGTGATAGAGGAAGACATCCTAGCTTCCACCTGCATATCCCTGCATGAACACACACATCCCACTCAGTTGCTGGAGTAATCCCTTAGTCCCACTCAGTTGATACAGTAATCCCTTAGTATGCATGAAGCCCTGGGTTCAATCCCCAACACCACATAAACAGGAGGATCTGAAGTTCAAGGCCATCCTCAGCTACATAACAAGTTTAAGGTCAGTCTGGGCTACATGAGATGCTATCTCAGAAAGAAAAAGAGAAGAGAAAGAGAGAGAAAGAGAAGAGAGAGAGAGAACTCTCAGAAGAATCCAGGGAGAATAACGAAAAAGAGCAGAACACACCAGAAAGAAGCAAGTTGTAGGATTCTAACAGAATAAAAGGCAAAAGAGGTTTGGAATGACCCCCAATTAAAGTAAAATAAACCAGATTTATTTCACATTTACTTATCTTTTGAACAATAAAACAAAATAACCAGATACTTCTAATCATTCAGCAGGATGGTTTTCATGGGGAGGAAAAAAAAAAAAGAAACCTAAAACATGGAGTTTAATATATCTGTCCCCGGCCCAGCAAGAGCCCATTAAGCTACAGCTTAATTTTAGCTACAGCTTTATACAATCTTACTCTTATCTTCTTGAAGTCAGAATAGAGCACAAAGGATGGGCTAGGAAAATAGTGAAGTAAAAGTAATTCTTTTTTCCTTTGCCTGTCAGAGACCCCTGAAAGAAGACAAAGTAACATAAATTCAGCTTAGAGAAAGAATGGAGAACAATGAGGGACATTAAATCTTAGCAAAGCTGATGGTAAAGTACAGTCCCTTTCAAACAATTTTTTTTTAAAAGCCCTTAACACAGCTAGCTAGTTACAAAGCCTGTTCTCAAGTATGTCTTCAAAGATGAAGCACTTGACCAAAGACACCATAAATGATCAGTGCTAAAGACCAGAACTAGGAACACATAGTCCAAGGCATTTTCCTGAACAGCCAACTTACCCACAGGAAAAGTGTGCATCCAGCGCCTTCTGTTGGATGTGAGCTTCATGGGCATTCGTGAAGGGGCAAAGGGGTTAATCAGTGCTCTCTGAGGTGTGTAACCACCAGGTCGAACATGTAGCATGGACTCTGCACTGCCTACATGGAATCTTCCTGGCGCACTGGAATCCCGCTGTGGTGGTTCAATCATGTTCTCCAGGACATCTGCTGGTAGTCATGGAGTTGAACACAAAGACAAAGCCACAGTGAAACCAGAATTAAGCAGACTGATGGGACAGGGCTGACACAAATCTAAGGCATTATAAATATCAGGGAGAGAAATGAGCAAAATTGTTAAATTATAAAGAAATGAAACATGCTTAAGCTTGTTTACTTTTTAAATACTTTGGAGACCTGACCAAATCAAGACACACACAAACCTGATGGGTTCACACATTTTGGCTGGGGACCTGGGACACTGAGCTGGGTGTAATGATTAATCTCCCTTGGGGAATGACGTAAACATATTCTCTATGTGGGAGGAACAATAGAAATAAATGTTTGGTGACCAGAACAGCTCACCAAACTCATTTGATTTTGAGCACACAAGGCTAGAATTCCCCGCCCTTTTGTACTGACACCAAATGACCTAAGTTCTAGCCAAAAGAAGATGGGGAGAAGGTACATTCAGGGCCTGGAAATAGGCATCCACACACAACCTCATTCTCTTTCCCTCTTCTATGGCAACTTTGGAGGCCAATGCCCAAGATCATGGCATCCTAGCATAGAAGGAATCTGAGTTTCTCAATGATTAAGATCCTCCCAATGACTCTGTGTACCAATAATCAATCAAATGCCATTGCATTAAATTAATGTTCTCGAGGAAAAGAATAAAGAAATGAATATATTCAGGTTTGGCCAGGCAAGGAAATGTTATAATTATTTACACTCAACCTGCCCTAAGCAAAGAATGGCCTATTAGGGTGATGGAGGTGGCATGCTATATGACCTCAAAGGACCCAAGAGCTGAACCCTATGAGAACCAACTCTCCTTTGTGCATCTCATGTTCAGTAAACAATTATGTTGATTAGAAAGTGGCATCAAGGAATGTTTTAACCTAGTGTGATAACTCACATCTGCAATCTCAGCACTTGGTAGGCTGAAACAGAAGGAGCATCACGACTTTGAGTCCAGCTTGGACAAGGGGAAGAAAAAAAACAGGGGCTAGGGAGGTGGCTCAGTTGCAAAAGTGCTTGCTTTGTAAGTGTGAAGACTTGATTTGGATCCCTAGGACCACAAAGAGCCAGGCACTGTGGCATGGTCTTGTAATCTCAGCAATGGCGAGATGGGAGATGGAGACAGACAGATACCTGGTGCTTGCTGGCCAGCTAGTCTAGACTACTTGACAAAGTTAGGACTAATCAGAAGCCCCATTATATATATATTTTTTAATTTTTAAGTTAAAGTTTTATTTATTATTATGTGTGAACACAATTAGTAGGGCTGCATTATGACACTGCAGGGAGGCACAAGTGTGACAGTGCACAGGTGGCAACGAAGGACAACTCTGTAGAGTCATTTCAGTTTGCTCCTTCTATCTTTACATGGGTTAAAAGGATTGAATTCAGGTCATTAGGCTTGAGAAGCAAGTGCCTTTACTGGCTGAGTTACCCTCCTGGCCCCCAAGAAACTCTGTTTCAGATAAAAAGTGGAAGGCACCTGAGGAACAAAACCCAAGGTTGTCTTCTGACTTCCACATGTATGCACATGTGCACACATATACACACAAACACATCCATGTACACAGAAAAATTATTTGATATTATATTTACTATTATCTACCTAATACTTAGCATAAAACCTTGTACTTTACAATATTTCATTTCTCAATCTGATCTATATTTTGAATGCAAGTATAAAATAGTTAAAGTACCACAAAACTCTCACTAGACATAGTGGTGCATACTTGCAATCCCAACACTCAGGATGTGTAGGTAGGAGAATAGCCAGTTAAAAGACTAGTCTGCCTTGGTGTGGTAGTGCACATCTTTAGTCCCAGCACTAGGGAGGCAGAAGCAGGCAGATTTCTGTGAGTTTGAGGCCAGTGTGGTCTACATAGGAAGTTCTAGAGTAGGCAGTATTAAATAGTAAGACCTTGTCTCAAAAAAAAAAAAAAAATCCCAGTCTGATATCTGTGCCAAAACGAAACAAACTCTCATCACTCAATGTGTAATACATGTTACACTGGCAACTACCATGTACTGTTTAAGCTTATTGAAAATGAACTGACAGCAAGGAGATGTTCCCTGTTTCAGACTCAAGCATGCTTATGTTAAGTGTCCTTCAAAACCTGCTGTCCTGGGTCAGGCTGGCCCCCTGACATGTGATGGGCACATGGAAAAACAGCAAGCAGCCAAGGGCAATAAACACACCATGTCCTTGAGAACAGCTAGATAGTAATCTTTCCAAATGGAGTTGCTATTGTGCATTCTATAGTATGAAAATGTCTGTGGTGGGAACAGGAAGCCAGAAGCTCATCGATGGAGAGAAAGCTCAATTAGGAACACTTGATGATGGCTTCAACTTTCCAATGACTTCTGCTGGATGTTTGTATGCCCCTGGTTTGATATGTTACCCCTTATTTCCTCACTCAATCGGCTACTCCAGCTGTCTTGCTGGATGTAGTAAACCCCAGAGTTGATATTTTGCCATCCATCTGCTGCTTCCACCAATTTGCTACTTGCTATTTGTGCTTAAAAGCTCAGAGTAAGACTATCAGATCATCCTCTGAACCATACAGAATATACTGCAAATTAAAGAACTGATGCTCAGGGCTGGAGAGATGGCTCAGCAGTTAAGAGCACTGACTGCTCTACAAAGGACCAGGGTTCGATTCCCAGCACCCACATGGCGGCTACAAACCATCCTTAACTCCAGTTCCAGGGGAATCTGAAGCCCTCTTCTGACCTCCATGGCATTGCACAACATGGGTGGACTCACATACATGCAGGCAATACACTCATACAAAATAAAAATAATAAAATACTTTAAAGAACTGATGCTCTGATTTGTCAAATAAGAAAGAATATGGCCTAATTTATTGTGGAAATAAAAAGAAATCTCAGCCAGGTGAGATGGTGTACATTTTTATCCCAGCACTAGGAAGACTGCTATAAATTTAAGGCCAGCCTAGACTATAGTAAAGTTGAGACTTTGTCTCAAAAACTAAACAACCAGTACTCAGGATGTGGAGGCAGGCAGATCTCTGTGAGTTCCAGGCCAGCTTGGTCTACATAGTGAGTTCCAGGCCAGCTGTGGTCACAGGGAGACCCTGTCTCAAAAAGACCAAAAAAACCAAAAAACAAAAAAACTGCAGGCTGAGCTGAAAAGATGGCTCAGTAGTTAAGAGATTTGACGCCCTCTTAAGTCCTCTGCAGGCATTGCATGACACAGGTGCACTTACATACATTCAGGCAATACACTCATTCACAAAAAAAAAATTAGCACCGGGTGTGGTGATACACCCCTTTAGTCCCAGGTGGATCCCTGTAAGTTTGAGGCCAGCCTGGTCTACATAGTGAGTTCCAAGTCAGTTAGGGCTACAGGGAGACCAAAAAAGACAATAAATAGATAGATAAATAAACTAAAAAAATAAATATATAAATCAACAAATTAAAGGGGGGGGCAGGCAACAAAACGGCTTGGCAGGTAAAGGCACTTGCTACAAAGGCTGCTGACCTGAGTTTGATCCCCAAAACACATGGTGACCTCCACACACAACATAAAGCTGCACATAGGACTCTGGTTCTTTCATAGGCTGCTACAATACAAAAACTGGACAATGAAACCAGGAGTGATGATGCAAGCTTGTAATCTCAACACTTGGGAGGTGGAGGCAAGAGGATGAGGATCTCAATGTTATCCTTAGCTATGTAGCAAGTTTGAGACTAGTCTGGGGCATGACAGATCTCAAAAGAAAAAAAAAGTTAGGACTAAGAGATAAAGTAAGCTAAAAATACACATGGGGGAGGGAAAGAGTTCTTATATTATAGTGGTAACAATATAAGAGAGAAATACAAAGCTAAGGGCCTATGGACTACATTGCCTACAATATTCCAATGAATTGCTACAGATATTTTTCAAAAAGTTCCTCAATACTACTAAATGACACTAAGGGGCTAGAGAGATGGCCCAAGAGATGGAAGTTAAGAGGACCCAGGTTCAATTTCCAGCACCCACATGGTGGCTAACAACCATCTGTAACTCCAGTTCCAGGGGAATCTGATGCCCTCTTCTGACCTCCATAGACATAACACAGGTACTTATATACATGCAGGCAATATACTTATACACAAAAAATGAAAATAATAAATAGAATATTTTAAAGGACACTGAAATCAATTCTATTACTCAGATAACTTTAGAAATGTTTGCAAAGCCAGGTATGTTGGCACAGGCCTTTAACCCCAGCACCCAGGTGGCAGAGGCAGGTGGGTCTCTATGAGATCAAGGCTAGCTTGTCTTGTCTACATTATTGGCAACCTGGGGCTACAGGGAAACCCTGTCTCAAAACATAAAACAAATTAAAAACTTCTAAATAATGAAAAAACAAAACAATAACAAAATGTTTGGAAAGCTACTTGGATTAAGCTAGCACTACCTCATTAGGGGTGGTGGCACATGCCTTTAATCCCAGCACTTGAAAAGCAGAGGCAGGAGGAATTCAAGGCCAGCCAGGTCTACATAGTGAGTTCCAGGCCAGCTGGGGCTACAGAGAGACCCTGTCTCAAAAAGATTAAAAAAAAAAGAGTAATACTACCTCACCAGGCATGGTGGCATCCCAGCACTCAGGAGGCAGAGGCAGGCCAATCGATCTCTCTTGAGTTTGAAGCTAGCCTGGTCTACATAGTAAATTCCAGGTCAGCCAGAGATGCACTATGAGACACTGTCTCAAAAAACCCAAAAGAATAATACCTACCTCTACAAATATCAGACTTTTAGAATAAAAGTTTTCAGAGAATTAATCTTTAGTTTACTTTTTGTTATTAACCCCTCTAGAAATATTTCAGCATAATGGGAAAGTGGGGAAAGCTAACCTAGAAATATTCATATATTGAAGTTCTTGGGGCTAGGGAGGTAGCTCTGTTGGCAAAATGCTTGTTTGACATGCATGAAGCTCTGGATTTAATCCCCAACAGCACATAAAAAGGGCACAATGGTGCATACCTATAATCAAAGCACTGGGAATATCAGAAGTTCAAGGTCATCCTTCACCACACAGTGAATTTGAGGCCTGCCTAGGTTACATGAGACCTTGTCTCAAGAAAAAGGAAAAAGAAGGAAGGAAAGGAAGAAAGGAAGGAAATTAAGAAAAATAAAAATAAGGGGCTGGAGAGAGAGGTGGCTCAGCAATTAAGAGCACTGGCTGCTCTTGCAGAGGACCTTGGTTCGATTCAAAGCACCCACATGGTGGTGAACCCACATGGTAGCTAACAACTGTTCCTAATTCCAGTTCCAGGGGATCCAATGCACTTTTCTGGCCTCTACAGGCATTGTACAACATGGATATACTTACCTAAATGAAGGTAAAACACTCATACACACAAAAATAAAAAAAAAAAAAAAAATGAAAGCTGGGAATAGTGGTGTACATATCGAGACTACACGGTGAGACCCTGTCTCACAATAAAATAAAATTCTTTTGAATACAAAATTCAAGTTAATGTAGGTGACACAGGTTACACTTTGTTTTGTTTTTTGAGACAGGGTCTCCCTGTAGCCCCAGATGGAACTATGTACACCAGGTTGGCCTCGAACAAAAAGAGATCCAAATGCTTCTGCCTCCCCGGTGCTGGGATTAAAGGTATATGCCATCACATCCAGCATAGGTTGCACTCTCTAGTCATGTAATTAAACATACTTCTTTCTCTTTTGGAATTTCATGCTTTGAGCCAGTTAAAAAGAAAAAATTTAGCAGTTAAAAATTTTTCACAGGCCCTAGGCATAGCATCTATAGTTCCTAACTGGCTAAAGTGTCCTGTTGCCACACGCTCAGGTCCTGGGAGCCAAGTTTCCCGTTAACGTGCAGGGTCATGGAAAAATCTCCTTGCCCATTAGGAATCCTTCCAGGGCAACAGGAGGCAGCTGTGTGCATGCACAACATTCTTAAGCAGTGACTGCCAATCAGAAGGGGTATGTTTCTCTTCTCGTCTACACATTCCTACATAAGAAAATTACAGAAGAGAATGGTTAGTGAAAGGGTATGGCTCTACAGGGACAGCAGGAGGAAGGCTGGTGATGATACTGCCAGGGGTAAATCTAGCACTTATACATGTTAGGCAAATGTTTTACTACTGAACTATGTCTCCAAACCCGCCACCTTTTCTTTTTTTTTTTTTTGGTCTTTTTGAGACAGGGTCTCCCTGTAGCCCCAGCTGTCCTGAAACTCACTATGTAGACCAGGCTGGCCTTGAACTCACAGAGATCCGCCTGCCTCTGCCGAGTGTTGGGATTAAAGGCATGCGCGAGACCATTTTGCTATGCTGCCCAGGTGGGCCTTGAAGTCACTCTGTAGCCCAGACAGGTCTTGAACTTGTGATCCTCCTACTCCAGCTTCCCAAGTAGCTCAGATTACAGACCTGTGCCAAGAGGCCTGCCTGTAGAACTATTTGGTATTGTAAATGTGGTGGTGGCTACATGATTCTTTATGTGATAAATACATAGAAAAATACATACAACAACAAAACAAAAATACATACGAAACAAATGAGCGCATGTGTAACTGGTAAAACTGAATAAACTCTAAATTGTGCTAATGCCAATTTCCTATTTTGATATGGCACTATAACTACACAAGATATTATTATGGGGAGGGAGAGTAAAGGATACATGAGACCTCCCTGTATATATTTTTCAATTTCCCATGAATTCATACTTATTTCAATATAAAAGGGTTTGGCTTTTGGTTTATTAAGGCAGAGAAGTCTAAACTTTAGTCGTGGTTGTTGCTGGATTAAACATGTTAAGATACAGGAGGACCAGTACCTGCGTTCCTTAGCGTAAACTAGATTAGGAGATAAGAATTAAAAAATAAAAATAATTTTTAAAAAAAACAGAAAAAAAATATGGCCATCTTGGTATTTGTGAGAAGCTGATTCCAGGAACCCCTCTATCTGTCTCACAGTAGATATTAAAATCCTTTATATACACTAGTATGGTATTTGCAATTAAATAATCTCTGAATTATTTATGATACCTAATACGATGTAAATACTATGTATTTGCTAGATTGTATTAAGGACTAGTAATAAGAAGAAAAAGTCTGTATATGTTCAGTATAGATACTTGGTTAATATTTTTTCAATCCTCAGTTGGCTGAATCCATGGATATGAATATGAACTGAGCCTGGTGACAGAGGTCTACAGTCTCATCTACTCTGCAGGCTGAGACAGGAGGTTGGCAGGATCAAGGACTAACTGGGCTATAGAGACAGTTCAAGTTCAGACTGTGCAACATAGTGAGATCCTGTCACAAAAAAAAAAAAATACAAAAGGAAGCTAGGGAGATGCCTCATTCAGTACAGCACTTGCCTCAAAAATACTTTATATCAAGGGCCAGGATGTAGCTGGTTGTAGGTACTCTGAGTTCAATCCCCACTACTGCAAATAAAAAGCAAGCCTGAGTATGGAGAGTCAATCACAGAGGACACAGCTGTTGTAAATATGGCACAAAGCGACACAAACCCCTTTGATCCTAGGTTTAAAAAACCTCCCTATTGCCAGGTGTGGTGGCGCACACCTTTAGTCCCAGCACTTGGGAGGAAGAGGCAGGCGGATCTCTGTGAGGCCAGCCTGGTCTACATAGGGAGTTCCAGGCCAGCTGGGGCTACAGGGAGACCCTGTTTCAAAACAAAAGACCAGTCAAGAAAGCAAGTTTTCAAATGCTGCCTTCAAGCACGTCAGAGCACAGTCACCAAAGAAAAACAAACAAAAAACAAAAAACAAAAAAACAAAACAAAAGCAAAAACAGAACAACAACAACCAAAAACCCCTGTATGAAAAGATGTAGATGGGGTACAAAAAAAATTAGAAACAAAAATAGTACATGTAAATCTAATGTGATTTGTACTTATTCACTGGCATGGAATAATTAAAACATGGGACTTACAGTTCACTCCACTCCCTGCCACTCCCATCTCCCACTAGAAACTGCAAAGAAACTGTCACTAGACCTCCCCAACTCTAGCTAATGCTTTAGCACTCTGACCTCGAGTGCTGGTGTAGCCCAAAGAGCTGCTGACTTCGTACTGGTGCAGGTGGGGGTGGGGGATCATCAGAATGTTGGTGCTCTTGCCCAAGGAGCTGTCATCTGAAGCCTGGCTCCTTACTTCCTCAGTGGGCAGTGCACGGCTTGGCATGGAAGGGCTGGATGAGACGTCACAGGAACTGGCACTTTTACGATTATGATTTTCCCGCTCCCTCACAGACCTGCCAGGCAAGAGACAAGTTACCAACATGTAAAAGGATTCTTCCCACTTTGAGTTAAAATGTCAACAATCATCATCCTCGTATATTCACGAAATCAGAAACAAAATCCCCAATGTGGGAAGTAACGCTAGCCTGGACAACAAAGTAAGATTCCATCTCAAGGGAAACAAAAAAGTTAAGTCTAGCAGCTTGTATGTAATCACAGCACACAGAAGGCAGAGGCAGGCGCATCTCTGTGAGATTGAGGTCAGCCTGGTTTACAAGGTGAGTTCTAGCCAGCTAAGGCCTACAGGGAGGCCCTGTCTCCAAAAGACCAAAAAAAGACAAAAAAAAAACCCACCCAATAATATGTATGTGTATATATAACTCTCTCTCTCTCTCTAAAGTATGTTCAGATGAAAAATAGGAGACCTTGTAATTTTCTTTAAAATATTCCAGCCAGGCTGGGCATGGTGGCAAAAGCCTGTAGCCCCAGCATTTGGGAGGCAGAGGCAGGCAGATCTCTGTGAGTTCAGGGCCAGCCTGGTCTACATAGTGAGTTCCAGGACAGCTGGGGCTACAGGAAGACTCTTTCAAAAAAGACCTAAATAAAAAATAAATAAATAATAAATAAAAATGTAGATGACAAAATAAGTATAATACTAGTTTCTTTGAACAAATTTGAATGTTTCCTTAATAAAAGTTTTTAAAATAATACACTCTTGGGCTGGAGAGACGGCTCAGCAGTTAAGAACACTGACTGTTCTTACAGAAGACCCAGGTTTGGATCCCAGTACCCACATGGCAGCTAACAACTGTCCATGACTAGTTCCAGGGGATCCAACAGCCTTGTCTGTCTTCTGTGGGCACTGCACGACACAGGTGCACTTACCTACATGCAGGTAATACACGCATACACATAAAATAAATTAAAAAAATTTTTTTTGGTCTTTTTGACCACTGTAGCTCCAGCTGGCCTTGAACTCACAGAGATCTACCTGCCTCTACCTCCCGAGTCCTGGGATTCAAGGCCTGTGCCCCCACGCCCAGTTTAATAAAGTATTTTTTGTTTTTGAGGTTTTTTTTGGGTCTTTTTGAATCAGAGTCTCTCTGTAGCCCCAGCTGTCCTAGAACTCACTATATAGACCAGGCTGGCTTTGAACTCACAGAGATCTGCCTGCCTCTGCTTCCCGAGTGCTGGGATTAAAGGCATGAGCCACCACACCCGGCTAATAAAATATTTTTTTTGAAAAATAATATATTCTTACTAAAACATGAAACGCCATAATGGGAAAATCTCAAGATTAAATAGGAAGAAAGATCAAAAGGAGAAAAGCCCAGGAGAGAAGAGGTCAACCTCAAGATAAAAGAAAAGCCTACCAAGAAAATTGCCCTTTTGGCATCAGCGCTGTTTCTTATATCCTAAAAGGAATTTGTGTTAAGTCAGGAACTTAAAAAGAACCTGAAAATAGATCCCAAGGTCTGACTACACATTGGTTTCTTCAATATTAACTATTTGAGCAACAGTACATGCTTAATTATGTTCAAGGGACAGAGGACTAATTAAGACGCAGTAGCCAGGCATGATGGGGGACACTTGTAGACACAGCTACTCAGGAGACTGAGGCAGGAGGATCATCTGAGCCCAGTAATTTGAGACCAGCCTGGGAAATACAGCAAAACTCTGTCTCAACAAAAACAAAGAGGAGAAAAGTCTCTTCATAGCTACTATTGAGTCCCTAAGTAGCATCTATGTGTAAGAGAGGTGCTGTTGCCGGGCATGGTGGCACATGCCTTTAATCCCAGCACTTGGGAAGCAGAGGCAGGTGGATTTCTATGAGTTCAAGGCCAGCCTGGTCTACATGGCAAGTTCCAGGCCAGCTGGGGTTACGGGGAGACCGTGTCTCAAAAAAAAAAAAAAAAGAGAGAGAGAGAGAGAGCTGCTGTTAACAGCACTTAGCGTTTTCTGATGAAAGGGACACAAAGCAACCACATGGCCACCATAAGCTCATTTGCCACAAAGTGAAAACACATGATATTATTATTATTATTATTATTATTATTATTATTATTCTCTTTGAAGCAGGGTCTCCCTGTAGCCTCAGCTGGCCTGGAACTCACTATGTAGACCAGGCTGGCCTTGAACTCACAGAGATCCACCTGCCTCCGCCTCTGCCTCCCAAGTGCTGGGACTACAGGTGTGCGCCATGACACCCAGGATGATAATATTGTTAAACGTGAATATTTAAGAGTTCTGGAAAACGGGTTCACATTCTGTCGTTTCTCATATTCCTGAAAAAATTCCTTTCCCCCTTATTTTTCATACTCATGAAAAAATTCTACACAAAGAACTAAGCATAAAATCCAAGACTGTCAGGACATGATGGCTCATGCCTGTAACCAAGTCAGGAGTCTGGGGTAGGATAACTGCAATGAGTTCAAAGTCAGTCTAGTTGACACAGTTATGTGTAGGCTAGTCTGAGCTATGTAGCAAGATCCTGTTCCAAAAGAACAAAACAGAGCCTAGCTTGTTGGTACAGACTTATAATCCTATTTACCGCACCTATTGCAAAGGCTGAGGCATGAGGATCACAAGTTCAAGGCCAAATTGAGCTACAGAATAAGTTCAAAGTCAGCCTGGGCAACTTATTGCGATGCCATCTCAAAACAAAAAGTAAAAGGGGTGAAGGATGGGGAGGAGGATGGAGAGATGGTTCAGGAGTTAAGGGCTCTTGCTATGCTTTCAGAGGACCTGAGTTCAGTTCCCAGCACCTACATGGGGTGCTTAGAATTGTCTTTAGCGCCAGTTCGAGGGGATCTGGCCCCTCTTCTGACCTCCAAGGGCACCAGGCACACACGTGGTACACACGTGGTACACACACACACACACACACACACACACACACACACACGGGCGAAGAAAAAAAAAAAAAAGAGGGTGAGGACATGGCTTAGAGCTAAGGTATATGCTTAGTATGCTTGAAGCCCTAAGTTCAAGTCTTAATCTGGGGGAAAAAAATCTAAGCAAAAAAATTTATGAAAAAAATATATAACTTGGGGTAGTACAACTTTTTTTAAAGTTTTATTTTATTATTAAGTATGTATATTGGGGGGGGGGCACATGCCCAAGGAGACCAGAGGTGTCAGATCCCCTGAAGTGGTTGTGAGCTGTCTGACCTGAGTACTGAGAACTGAACTCAGGCTCTCTGAAAGAGCAGTATCTCTCTAGTCTCAAGTACATATAAAAGAAGATTCAGAAATGAACAGGTTGTTAAATCTATCACAAAAACTATTATATGACCAAAACACCACAAAGCAAATTTTAAAAGCAGGTACTAAAGAAAGAAAACTTGTCTTTGGGGAATAGCAAACCTAAAGAAAACTCTGAGGCCAAAAATCTGTTAATGCCATCCAACAAGAGGAAGAGCCTAGAACACACGAAATGCTTCTTTTGGCTAGAAAGTCTGAGACCCTTTTCCTTGTTTCAAGACAATATTCACAACAAACAAAATAGGTGAACCAAAGAGTCTGAAAACAGAAGCCCCAGGGATCCTGTGGCTAATTTTAATTTAAAACATTTTCATGGTTGCTCTCATAAAGATCCCTGTTGGACCATAGGATTTTTTTTTTTTTTTTTTTTTTTTTTTTTTTTTTTTAAAAAAAAAAAAAAATCCTGGAACTCACTATGTAGACCAGGCTGGCCTTGAACTCACAAAGATCCACCTGCCTCTGCCTCCCGAGTGCTGGGATTAAAGGCGTGCACCACCAAGCCCAGCCATAGTATTTTTTTTTTAAGCTTTCTTTCACTATATAGCCGAGGCTGGCCTTGAACTTGAAATCCTCCCACTTCTGTCTCCTGAGTGCTCCCTTAAAACGTGTATGCCACCACCCCTGACCCATAAATAATTTCATATGTACACACTCCTCCCCCCTGGGAAATCTGGCAGAAAACCTGCAGGTAGCAAGGCGCTGGGCCCGGGATGGACCAGGCAGCCTGAATACTTGAGCATCATAGGCATCATAATCCACTTGGATGGGAAGGGTGTTCTCAGACTCCTTTGGAGTGCCAAGAGCTGCAACACACAAATAATATACTCTGTCAATCAAACATATTTCAAACAGATGCTATAGAGGATTTTCAGCAAAATCAGCAAAGCACAGGGGACCACCTACCAAGGAAAAGATGGGACAATAACCCATTTATCAAGCTGTTGAGACTGAATGGTATAAATGTCAAAGTGACCAAAAAACAGTATAGCAATAAAAAAGGCAAAGTGTTAGCCAGGTGTGGTGGCACACACCTGTAGTCCCAGCACTTAGGAGGTGGAGGCAGAGGCAGCCTGGTCTATGTAGTGAGTTCCAGGCCAGCTGGGGCTACAGGGAGACCCTGTTTCAAAAAAGCAAACGAAAAAAGGCAGTGTTGGTAGCATTTTATTCTTCTGTGGTCCCTCTTAAAATAATCATCTGAGTATGTTCAGTGCTTTAATACTTTCTACCTGATTCCCAGAATTGACCCATTAAAAAGAAAAAGGATTTGTCCCATCCATTGTGTGGCTGGGCAAGGCAAAACCATAAGGTAGCTAAGGAACCTTCCAAAGGTGGCACAAAGGGATCTTGGGTGTCCTAACCTTTCTGTGAACCTTTTTGTTTCCATGGATTAGTCAACTCTTTCTAAAATTGATTTTTTTAAAAAATCTCAAAAGAATACTCACATGTATCACGGCCATTTTTTGCTTTCTCAGAGGCAGGCTATAAAATTAAATAGACATTTAATCATTCCTCTGTTAGAACAAAACTTAACACAGTATTTATGCAGTTACTCCCAGGGAAGAGACCATGTCCTAACCATCTATGTAACTTATGGAATGCAAGAGTTAACACTTGACACCTGCCTACCACAACTTCAAGCCTTGCTAAGTATTTTACTTTCACTTACATCTTTTCTTAGGAGTAGGGGGCTTGGTTTGGGTTTGGGGTTTTTTGTTTTTCTTTTCCTTTTTTGAGACAGGGTCTCTATATGTAGTTCTGGCTGGCCTAGCACTCCCTATGTAGATCAGGCTAGCCTCAAACTCAAACAGATCCATCTGCCTCTGCCTCCAAAGTGCTGGAATTAAAGGCCTGTATCATCATTCCCAGCTTCACCTTGCATGTTACTTATTTTCACAGCCTCATCTAGGTGGGGCATGGACCTCACTTGATAGATGAGGATATTCAACTCCAAAGAGATTAAGGGATTTGCGAAAGCCACATAATTAGCAAAAATCCAAGTCTATATTCTCAGACTCTTGGTTGATCCCCTACATGCTTGCTCTACCACGGCTAGGTCCCACTGAATGCCTCCCCACTCAGGCACTGCAACATCATCGAATCTGCCTACATCTACCAGAGCTAAGCACTCAATGAATGGTTCGCCTTCCTGAAATGGAATACAAAGGTGAGGATGGGGAAAGGGACAAAAACACAAAACCCAAACCTTACAGATATCATGTTCTAAAATGTTCTTAATGAATTTTTCAAGACCCTCAAATCTCTTATACCAACAATCAGACACGCTCTTAAAATGATCACACAGATAGCATGAATTTACATTTCACTTGACAAACATGGCTAGACTGTTTTAGACAAAATATTACACACCAACCAGGAACTCAGCACCAACTTTACCATTTTTCCCAGTATCTGGCATAATTATTAACATTTAAATTGTTTTTTAATTTAACAAGTGTTATGCCTGTATATATGTAAGTGAACCCATGTTGTACAATGCCTGTGGAAGACAGAAGAGGGCATCAGATCCCCTGGAACTGGTGCTACCAACAGTTGTTAGCCACCACACAGGTGCTAGGATTCAAACTGGTGTCTTCTGCAAGTGCAGCCAGTGCTCTTAATCACTGAACCATCTCTCCAGTCCCTTATTAACATATTTTAAAACCATGTGTTAAAAATCCCAAGTTCATTACTCTCAAATCCAGCCTTGGCAGCTAAAAAAAAAAAAACAAGGAGAAACCCAATAGATACTACAGTTAAGATTTATACAATTTGCTGGGCACTTGGGAGGCAGAGGCAGGTGGATCTCTGTGAGTTCAAGGCCAGCCTGGTCTACATAGTGAGTTCCAGGACATCTGGGGCTACAGGGAGACCCTGTTTCAAAAACACCGCCCTCCCCCCAAAAAAAACCCAAAGAAAAGTAGCCAGCTTCTTTCTTGGCTAAAAGTCAAAATGTCCTTGGGCCACTTAGCAACCTGGTCTGTATCAAAGTCCAGAAATGTCAAAAGTATTTGAGAGCTCGTCTAATCCCTAAATTTTAAAGGGTACCTCTTCAGAGGGGGGTAATATTAGAGCAGCATATAGCCCCTGAAACCACCTGACAGGCATGCACCTTCAGTCTTACTAAGTGCATGATTACAGAACAGCTAGAATGGGACTCTCACCATGAAGACATGTGCATACTAGTCCATGTTCTCCCCTAGGTTTATCTCTATACCAGAGAGAAAGGGCAGAAACACCTCACCTTAACCCAGGTCTCTCAAGAGCCAAGAGAAGTCCCGCCACCATCCTGCCCCCTTCCTTATGAGAACAGGGAATTAGGCTTCTAAGCTCTGAGATAGAAAGAGACATTGGACATCTACATGACTCCATTAGACAGCTGGAGAGACAAGTTAACTCCTGATGGCTTATACATGGCCTTAGGTGAGGCTTGCTATTTTTACGCCAATAATGTGGTTGTAATTGAGTTTTGCTGGGACTCTGGTTAGTACTCCTAGCCTTTACAGTGGGCCCATGCCACCTAAAATGTCTAATCAGATATAGCAAGAGGCATCTAAAGACCATCAAAATTATGGTTCTGAGGACCCAATATGAGACTCAAAATCAAAACAAGTCAAAGATTTGACTTATGTCCCAGAGCCAGTGGTGATTGTAATACCCCAATCCCCTCCATTTGTTGTAAGTTTAACTGGTCAATGATCTGGTCATAGGATCACCCTTAGGAAGGTGGGTTATGCTAAACAGGTGGGCAGACTACCTAGTACATTAATGAGATGGTGAGTTTTTCCTGCTTGGAATCCTGCTATTAGCACAGAACTTCCGGACTAGCCACAGTCAGGTAGTTTGTGAGTTTTCCCACTTCTCTGAATTCTTCAGAGAAATGTAATTTTTCCTTAGCTTCTCCTTATCCCTCTTCTAAATATGCTTTCTTTAAGGCTTTAGGCTGCCCCTAGCATCTTATATTTCTTTACTTTCTCTAAAGCTTCCTTCTCCCAGCCATGTAACTGCCAGTCAGCCACGTGTCCGACCCCTATGCAGGCTGTAAACTTGCATGGTGGTTTTCTTTCCTTCTCCCCACCATTCTCTCCTCCTCAAAGCAGCTGCTGGGATTGCCAGACCATTTGCCCTGGGGATTTTTCTTTAAAATTCTAATAAAATTGTAAAAGCTTTAAAAAAAAAAAAGTGTTAAACAGGGGACCTACATTTCTTTACTATTACAATGTCACCTTTTTAAAAACTCTATTTGGGGCCCAGTGTGGTGGCTCATGCCTTTAATCCCAGCACTGTGGAGACAGAGGCAGGTGGATGTCTGTGAGATCAACACAGTCTACATGATGGAGTTCCAGACCAGATGGAGACCCTGTTTCAAAAACATCAAAAACACCAAAAAAATTCTATTTCTCTGTTGTAAGGTATATCTCTGTCATTATCCTTGTCCCAAATAATAGTGTCCTCAGTATCTAAATAAATCAGTCACACTGAAATAAAATGAACTGAAGCTGGAGAAATGCCTCAGCAATTAAGAGCACTGGCTGTTCTTGCAGAGGATTTGGGTTTGATTCCCAGAACCCACATAGCAGCTAACAACTGTCTATAACTTCAGCTCCAAGGGGATCAAACACCTTTTGGGTACTCCCCACTTCCCCACATATACATAAATAAAAAAATAAAAATAAATCTTAAGAAAATAAAAAGGAACCACTTTTCACTTCTTTTTTGAACTCAACATTTTACCAAAGTTTTTTTTGTTGTTTATATGTATCTAATGTACAAAACTGTAAAGTTCCAACACAAGCTTTTTAAACCTATTTATGTCCATGAGGGAGGGAAAAGAGATTAAGGTACTTTTAAAAAATGTTTGGTCTTTTTGAGACAGGGTTTCCCTGTAGCCCTAGCTGGCCTTGAACTCACTATGTAGACTAGGCTGGCCTTGAGCCTCACACTAACCAGCCTGCCTCTGCCTCCCAAGTACTGGGATTAAAGGCATGAAAGGACTGTACCACCATACCCAGCTCCAAGATGAAGTTATTTTAAGATCAGAAGAAACACACTGGTATGTGACAGCCCCTGGAGGTTCTGCAAAGTGGTGAAACCTACCTTCTTTCCTGCCAGTTTTATTCGTGGGGTGAAACTGTTACAAAAGAGCTGGCTTTTGGATGTGTAGAAACTGGAAAAAAAAAAAAAAAAAAAGCAGAGAAAGTCATTAATTTAAACTCTAAGACAAACTGCAATCCCTGGTAAAATTAGATCTCCCGTGCTTGACTTTCTTTTTGGTGCACCGATCTTTCAAATTCTACCTGGTGAGATGGCTCAGTGGCTAAAAAGCATTTGCTGCAGAAGCTTGACAACATGAGTTCAATTTCAGGATCCCATGATGGAAGAAGAGAATCAAGTCCCAAAAGTCCTCTGGTCTGAGCTTGCATGCGCGCGCGCACACACACACACACACACACACGCACACACACACACACACACACACGCATATACATATACACAAATAATAATAAAGAAAAAAATTTTTAAAAGCAAACTCCAACTTCAATACAAATTAGGATTTCAACTGCTGTTCTAGTCCCCCCTCCCCCATACATTGCTTTGTGCATACTAGTCCTAATTACTAATACCAGAATCTTCCCACTGGGGAAAAAATTAAGTCTTTATTTTTTTCTTAAATATTTTATTTATTATTTTTATTTTATGTGTATGAGTATATTGCTTGCATGTATGTGAGTGCACCCGTGTTGTGCAATGCTGGGAATTGAACCTGGGTTCTTTGCAAGAGCAGTCAGTGCTCTTAAACTCTGAGCCATCTCTCCAGCCCTGAAATTAAGTCTCTTTATACCAGGACACTGTCCATCCTGACTGGGTATGTTAGGCCCACATGAGGCTTTAAAAAAAAAAAAAGATTTTACTTATTATTTTTATTTTATGTGTATGAGTGTATTGTCTGCATGTGTATAAGTACACCCATGTCCGGCAGTGCCTATGGAGGTCAGAAGAAGGTGCCAGATTCCCTGGAACTGGAGGTACAGATGGTTGTTAGCCCCCATGTGGGTACTGGGAATTGAACCGAGGTCCTCTGCAAGAGCAGTCAGTGCTCTTAACCACTGAGCCATCTCTCCAGCCCCCAACAAGAGGTTCTTATACCTCACTTACTGGTCATACTTAATAAAAAGAACAGGAAAAAGGTTAGTGCTCTCCAGGCATGGTGGCTCATGCCTTTAATCCCAGGATTGGCAGGTGAATCTCTGTGAGGTCCAAGCCAGCTGGATGAGTTCCAGGCTGACTAGGGCTACACAGTGAGATCTGTCTAAAAAATCAAAATTACCTCTTCTGACCTCCGCGGCATTGCACGACATGGATGCACTCACATACATACAGGCAATACACTTGTACACATAAAATAATAAATATTTTTTTAAAAAAATCAAAATTAGTGCTCAAGAAAAGATGGCAGAAACCACTAAGTCCCAAACCGTCTGAAAATATCCTTAATACAACCACGTCAAACACCAAGCAACACCTTGCACTGGGTGAACAATGACCACAAGGAGGCCATGCGGCCTTTCTTGCCCTGGTATCTTCTATTCCCTTCTCTTAGTCATTAATTACTTAAGGAATATTTGGAGCGCTGCACAGTTCCTATCTTCCATGAAATCTCTGACTACAAACAAAAAAAGTAAAAATGAATAAAAGCCGCAGTTATCAGTAGCTAGGCCACGGGAACAATCTTAATGGCACATTAAGGATGCATGAACATAAGAATGTCCTAGAGTCTAACCAACCCCAGGAATGGCTTCTCCCAGTGCTATAAAGTACAGTACCAAGTTGAAGTGACTATTTTCTTCCCAGACATTAATTGTAAAAGGTATGAGTTGTAACTTGGCATAGTGGCAGATGCCTGTAATCCCAGCACCTGGAAGGGGGAGGCAGAAGGAATGCTGTGAGCGTCAGGTAACCCAAGGTACAGGATAAGACCCTATCTCAAGAAGAAAAAAAAAAAAATAGGCTGAGGAGGTAGCTCAGTTGGTAAGGTACTTGTCATGTAAGCGTGTGGACCCAAATTTAATCTCCAGAACCCACGTTAAAACATACACACACACCAAAAAAAACAAACAAACAAAAACTATGCAGGCACAATGGTGTGCACTTGTAATCCCAGTACTAAGGAGAGAGACAGGTGGGTCCCTGGGGTTCACTGGCCACCCAGCCTAACCTAATTAGGAACACTACAGGTCAATGAGACATCCTATCTTAAAAAAAACAAGGTGAATGGCTTCTAAGAAACAATATCCAAGGTTGACATCTGGCTTCCACACATGTACATACAGATACACATGTACCTACAACATGAGAGATGAGTGGTAATGAGCCAGAAGAATGGATTCCTATAAACTGAATCATGAAATTGTTACTTTTCAGTCACAATCAATCAATCTAATATCATGATTTTCATTGTTATTGTGGTTTATGGCATTTTTTGCTTGTTTGTTTCTCTGAGACAAAATCTATGTATATAACCTGAATGGCCTAGAACTTTATGTAGGCTGGTCTCAAACTTGCTATAGTCCTGCCTCTGTCTCCCAAGTGCTGGGATTAAAGGTATACAACACCATACCTGGAAAAAAAACAACACAATTTCAAGTTGTTGAAATTAGCAGCTGCAACTTTCCCATGAACCTGATCAACCTTAGGCAACACACTTAACATCTGTGTAACTTGTCTTTTATCCACTGCAAAATTTAACTGAATAAAGGGTCTACAGGAGCTTCAGAACTCCAACTTTATACTGCCATGCCCTCTACAGACAAGTTTATAACTTTTTTGTTGTTTTGGTTTGGTTTGGTTGTTTGAGCCCTGCATGGCTTGGAACTTACTGTGTAGACCACTCTGACCACTCTTGGCAATCCCCATCTCTGCCTCTGTGTGCTGGTGTTATAAGTGTGCATCACCATTCATGGCTTCAGTTTTATCACTCTTATAAACTTAATATTTATTAAATTTGTAGATCAATTTTCATTACTTGCCAATAGTATTCCGAAGGTAAAAAGGTCTCACTGAAAACAATTTGATTATGTTCAGTTAAGGTCTCTGGCCTTACTGAAGTAAGAATACTTAGCCCACAACTGAAGAGGTCTGGCTGACAGAACAACAGCCCCTGTTCTCTGCCCCATTCCAATTCCCAAGTGGCTCGAGCAAACAGGGCTCAAAATGTAAAAAGCTGGCCTCAATTCTTCACAATTCTTAGATTTAAAAGCCCTTCACATGTAGCATCATCTTGCATCATAAATGGCACAAGTGAACCAATTTACGATGAAAAAATATAAAGTGGTTATTTGGGAAACTTTGATTTATGCATTAAATTTGAGAAAAGTATAAAACTTTCATTCAAATATATGCATTTCTGTATATTCTTACAGTTACTTTTTGTCTTTCCTCAAAACCATGAAACATGATATATAATTAAACAATTGTGATTTTTGATAAATAAATCTAAATATGTATTAAAAGTTACAAATAGGGTTGGAGAGATGGCTCAGTAGTTAAGAGCACTGACTGCTCTTGCAGAGGACCCGGCACCCACATGCCAGCTAACAACTGTTCTTAACTCCAGTTCCAGAGGATCTGATGCCTTCTTCTGACCTCTGTGGGCATTGCACAACATAGGTGCACTTACACACATGCAGGCAAATCACTCACACATAAAAATAAAAATATTAAATTAGCCAGGCGTGGTGGTGCAAGCCTTTAATCCCAGCACTTGGGAGACAGAGGCAGGTGAATCTCTGTGAGTTCAAGGCCAGCCTGGTCCTCAATAGTGAGTTCCAGGACAGCTGGGGCTACAGGGAGACCTTATCTCAAAAAGACCAAAATAATAATAATAATAATAAATTTAAAAAAAATTTTTTTTAAGTTACAAATGGTCTAAACACATGGCTCAGCGGTTAAAAGCACTGGCTGCTCTTGCAGAAGACCCAAGTTCAGTTCCTAGCACCCACATGACAGCTAACAACCATTTGTAACTCCATTTCCAGGGGATCTGACACCCTCTTCTGTTTTCCACTAGCATTGTACATGTGATACACTACATACAAGCAGGCAAAACACTTGTACACATAAAAATAAATAAATGAATAAATTTTTTTTTCTTGTCTTTTTTTGAAGCAGGGTCTCCCCGTAGCCCCAGCTGTCCTGGAACTCACTATGTAGACCAGGCTGGCCTTGAACTCACAGAGATCCACCTGCCTTTGCCTCCCAAGTGCTGGGACTACAGGCGTGCACCACCAAGCCTGGCATAAATAATTTTTTTAAAGTTACAAATACAAGAGCCAGAGAGATGGTTCAAGGGTAAAGGTACTTGCTAATAAGACTGACAACCCCAGTATCCCTGGAACCCACATGGTGGAAGGAAAGAACTGACTCCTGCAAGTTTTCTCTGACATCCACACACACACACACCATGGCATAAGCACACACAAAATAAATAAACTTTAAAAAAAATTTTTTTTAAGTTACAAATACAGGGACTGGAGAGATAGCTCAGTCAGTAAAATGCTGAAGACCCAAGTTTGGATCTCCAAGACCCACATGAAAAGCTGGCTTGGAGACACGCCTGTAATCCTAGCTGTGGGGAGGCAGAAACAAGCTCCCCAGAATACACTGGCCAGCTAGTCTTGCCAGATCAATGAGTTCCAGATTCAGTGAGAGACCCTGTCTCAAAAAAGATGGAGCTCAATGGAAAACACTCAACATCAACCTTGGCCTCAACACTCGTGTACACAAACATAGGAACAGATGCATATGCACAGACACATAGGAACACAGCACACACATACACCACACATACAAAAAAGGGTACAAATACGAAAATAAAGGATAGAATGAAATGAAATATTAGTCTCTGAAATAAATGAAAAAAGAAATCAGTTCAAAATAATCCTATTTGATAGTTCGGTTGGAAAAATGACTGCTGCACAAGAATAAGGAATGAGTTTGGATCCCCAGGGCCCACATAAAATAAAAGTTGGGTATGGTGGTAGGCGTCTGTAACCCTAGTTATAGGCAGACAGATGATCCCTAGAGTTCAGCCAGCCAGCCTATCTGATCTGTGAGTTCCAGGTTCAGTGAGAGACCCTGTCTCAAAAAATAAGGTGAAAGTGATAGAGGAAGTCACCCAATATCGGCCTCTGATCTCAACATACACCCCCACACATAAGCATGCACACCCACAAGCACACATCCAATAAGCACACAATTTTTTGTTTGTTTATTATGTTTTTTGACAGGGTCTCCCTATAGCCCCGGCTGGCCTGGAACTTGCTACACAGACCAAGCTGACCTTGACCTCATTGCCTACCTCTGCCTCCCTAGTGCTAGGATTAAAAGCATGCACCAACATACGTGGTGTGCGAGCATACACACACAGACACACACAGACACACACAGACACACACAGACACACACACACACACACACACACACACACACACAAAGATAATGACTGTAAAAAGGATCTTGTTACTCAGGAACAAAATGAAAAAGAGACTAAAAGAAGAAAACCATAGCTGGCATAAGTGATTCTCAGGGCCAGGAGATAGCTCAGTGGAGAATACTTGCCTAACAGGGACAAAACCCTAAGTTCAAGTCCCAGCATAACCAACCTACCAGCCAACCAACCAACAAATAAGTCAGGCATAGCACAGAGGCATAGCTCACACCTAGCACTTATGAGGCTGAGGTACAAGGAGTGCCATGAGCTTGAGGCCAGCTTAGGTACATAGAGACCATCTCAAAAAATGAAAACCACCCCCCCACACACAAAAAAAAAACCAAATAAAACAAAAAACCACATTTAAAGAGCAAATACTAAGGAAACTATTCAAATGTCAGCGTACGCACACATACACACACAGACACACACAGACACACACACACACACACACACACACACACACACACACACACACACAAAGATAATGACTGTAAAAAGGATCTTGTTACTCAGGAACAAAATGAAAAAGGAACTAAAAGAAGAAAACCATAGCTGGCATAAGTGATTCTCAGGGCCAGGAGATAGCTCAGTGGAGAATACTTGCCTAACAGGGACAAAACCCTAAGTTCAAGTCCCAGCATAACCAACCTACCAGCCAACCAACCAACAAATAAGTCAGGCATAGCACAGAGGCATAGCTCACACCTAGCACTTATGAGGCTGAGGTACAAGGAGTGCCATGAGCTTGAGGCCAGCTTAGGTACATAGAGACCATCTCAAAAAATGAAAACCACCCCCCCACACACAAAAAAAAAACCAAATAAAACAAAAAACCACATTTAAAGAGCAAATACTAAGGAAACTATTCAAAACACTTATCTGCTATTCGAGATCACACCCACCTGTGATTTATCCAGTGAGGAATATTATAATCATCACCTAGCCGAGAGTCCCGTGGAGCACTTCGATTGTGCAGCTGCAAGAGAAAATGCCAGGACAGACAAGCTAGAAAAGTAGCTATGGAACTGCTCCAACTTTTTAAACTATTCTTCAATTGGTCTTTCAAAAGGAAACTAAGTTGTATTACCTTGAATAATGGCACAGCATGTAATGGCTGCTCTCCCATGCACACCAAGTCCACACCAATTCCTAAAAAGAAAAGGACAAAAAGAGATGGGATAAAGGGGACAACAGCAGAGGCAAGCATCCAATCTATTGAAGATGCTATTTAACTTGGTATGAGGTGAAGCCGACTTGCCATCTCTTAAAACCAAAGACTGTGTTACCATTATCTATCATCCGTTGTTTGGTCAAGATCATAAGTAGGCGGTCCACTTCAAAGACACCTACTCCAGGTGTGATCACCACAGACATCTGCCCAGTTCGGTCAAAGTTGCGGTTGATGTAGTGCTTGTCAAACACTTGAAAGAAAACAAAAAATCCCAATGATGATGTTGCAGCTTTTCAGAAACCAGCCACAAGCAAGCATCTCTGTGCTTCCAGAGCAGTTTATACATATTCCAATCATATCAGGTGTCATATTCTGACCTGGATTTTAAAAAATATTTAATTTTATTTTTTTATTTTATTTCATGTATATGAGTATTTTGTCTGTGTGTATATAAGTGCACCATGTGCATGCAATATCTGAATAGGCCAGAAAAGGACACTGGATTCCCTGGAACCGGAGTTACAGACAGTTGTTAGCTGCTATCTGAGTGCTGGGATTCCAGGGATTCCAACCCTGGTCTTTTACAAGAACAGTGTTCTTAACCACTGAGCCATCTCTCCAGTCTAAATGCTCAAATTTTATGACATAATTTTAAATCAACAATCAATTTATAACTTCTAAGAATCAAATATGATTTTTTGTGTGTTTATTTATTTTGAGTGTATATGTGTGAGGGTACCACAAGTGCCACAGTACATGTGGAGGTCAGAGGTTTACATGAAGAAATCGCTTTCTCCTTTGACTATATAAGACTTATTATATAAGACCTAGGGATGGAACTCTAAGTCCTCAGCTTAGTGTATGGAGCTTGACCCACTGAGCCATGTCATTGGCCCACTGTTTGGGGGTTTTTTGAGACAGGGTCCCTCTAGCAGCTTATATTCCCTAGTAGACCCTCAAGCTTGCAATTCTCCTGTCTGAGTCTCCCAAGTGTTAGAATTTTAAGAATATACAACTGCACCTGGGAATATTTGTAAATTTTCTTTTAAAGCAGAATTTTAGGGGCTGGAGAGGTAGATCAGCAGTTAAGAGCATTTGCTGTTCCTATAGAGGAACCAGGTTCACTTCCCAGCACCCACATGGTAGTTCACAGCCACCTGTAACTCCAATAACCTCTTGGTCTCCACAGGCACCAGGTACTGCACACAGTGCTGGGATTAAAGGTGTGAGCCACCATACCCGGCTTAATAAAAGTAAATAAATAAAATCTTTTTCAAAAAAGCAGAATTTAAATCGAAGCACTGGGGAGACAGAGGCAGGCAGATCTCTGTGAGTTCAAGGGCACCCTGGTCTACACAGTGAATTCCAGGCCAGCTGGGGATACAGGGAGACCCTGTCTCAAAAAACAAAACAAACACAACAAAAAAAGCAGAATTTTAAAAATCACCTAGAATCAGCTGAAGAATGATGTGAGAAATAAGAACACAATTTGTACTAAAACAACGAAGTCAAGCAAAATCCTTCCGGCTCTCTACTATGAGAGGGGCAGGTCAGAGAATGCTAAGTTGATTTCCCAGAAGAAGACTCAAGCCACACAGTAGGCATTAAGATCACCCAGTTATAGCTGGGTATGGTGGTGCACGCTTTTAATTCCAGTGGCAGAGACAAGTCAGCTGGGTCTATACACTGAGTTCCAGGCCAGATGGGGCTACAGAGAGACCCTGCCTCAAAAAGAAACAACGACTATCTAATCAGAAATCACTGGTCTGAATTAATTCAGAGGGTAGGTGAGAGAAAGCATCATCAACTAGGTCTGGGTCTTTGGGCATCAACAACAAGCTGCCTACAGTCATATGGGAAGCAAGAGGCGGCTCACTGTGTTCCTTCTCACCATTGAATGACAGGTTGATGGCCTCTAGGTAGTTTCCTTGTGCGGAGGTAGAATTGTCTCCTTGAGGAAAGCCCTCTGCAGCAAAACACACAAGAGAAAGAAAAATATCTCATGAAAAATGAACTCTTAAAAACGAATAGGAAGGCATTTGGCTCCATTCTGCCCCTTCACACTGTTTAGGGACATTGGTGGAACTTACTGCATGCGTAAGGAACTATATCCAACTGGAAAGAGACCTGACCAGAAGCAGAAACTATACACAGCAATGGAAGGGACTTAAGAAGCATGAACCTCTTTGTCTCCAGCCTCCATTCCATACATCCTTTCCCCACTGCACCTCTGACACATGGATGCAGTACCTGCCTGTTCCAGTCGCACCAACACTGGATACTGGATGAAGAGCTTTTTAATGGTCACGAGGAGTGAGGTCCACTCATCCCTTCTTTCATTCTGCACCACCACTCTGAAAGGAGTGTTATCATAAAACAGACATTAATTCGTTGTTATACAGGTTATCAGGTCCATTACAAGGTTTCAGGAAAGAAGCAAACAGGATTCCCCAGAGTTGGGAAATTTGCCACATAATAATAATAGGCAGGGAGGTGGAGGGAAGTGGACACATCCGTATTTCCAGGACTGAGGAGACATTGGCAAAAGGATCGCCACAGGTTTATGGCCAGCCTGGTCAATATAGTGAGTTTCAGACCAATCAGGCTATGTAAAGAAACTCTATCTCAAAAACAAATACTAGCAAAAAAGGTGATGAGAGCTGGAGAGATGGCTCAGCAGTTAAGAACACTGATTGTTCTTGCAGAAGACCCAGGTTCGAATCCCAGCACCCACATGGCAGCTAACAACTGTCCGCAACTCCAGTTCCAGGGGATCCAACAGCCTCTTCTGTCCTCCGCAGGCATTGCATGACATGGATGCACTTACCCACACGCAGGCAATACACACATACACATAGATAAATATAATATGAAAAAAAAATTTTATCTTTCAAAAAAAAGGTGATCACTCATCAGGATGCTGGGGGCGGGGCAGGAATGTCCCCACACCATTTGGGTTAGTTGCCCTAGGCTGTCCATCCCATCTGCCCCATTTCAATAAACAATCCTTGCTATTCTGTGATCTCATCTGATCTTTAACGTCTTGGAATATGGATCCCTCTATCTCACAACAAAGGAAGGGCTGCAGCCAGGTGCTTGCTGCTGCTGAGACTGAATTTGTATCTAGATTTGCAATTTTTAGATCCCGGAAGCTTTACGTGAGTGCCTGGTGGCTGAGTTCCAACCTGGACTGACAATGTGGGAACACACACAGATAAGCATCAGGATGCTGAGGGCGGGGGATGTCCCCACACCATTTGGGTCAGTTGTCCTAGGCTGCCCATCCCATCTACCCCATTTCAATAAACAATCCTTGCTATTCTGTGATCTTAAAAAAAAAAAAAAAGGTGATGATAGCCATATAAATTTAGACTGTTTTTCTTTCTTGGTTTTGTGGTGCTGGAAACTGAATCCATGGCCACATACACATTAGGCAAGTTATGATAAATCTTAACTTACTAAATGCAAGTAAGTGGTATATATTGAAAAATTTAAAAAAGGACATTCATACATATTCAATAAACATTCCCAGATCAGGGACCTGGATAAGGAAAAGATATGGAAGGAATCTGTTTACAGTATATTCTCTGTACATTTAAAAATTAAAACCATCAAGCTAGAGAGATGAGTCTGCAGCTAAAAGTACTTGCTGCTCTTGTAGAGGACCTGAGTTTGGTTTCCAGCAGCCATATCTGGCACTCACAACTACCTGTAACTCCAGCTACAGGGGATCTGGCACCCTCTTCTGACTTCCAAAGGTGCCTTCCCCAACTCACACAGACACAGACAGACACACAGACACATACATATAAAAATAAGTCTTAAAATCCTAACACTCAGGAAATTAAGGCAGGAGGATCAAGTTTAAGACCAGAAAGCCTTAAAATGCCAAAGGTTAGGGATGTGGGCTTACCTAGCACGTGCTGAAATGGCCAGACTGACCCCATTTTGTGTTTTTACTTTCTTTGTGTTTCTGCTTAACCACCCTCCCTGTTCATGCTAACAGCAGCTAGCTAGCCAGAACCTTTTCATGCAGGCTGCACCAGTAGATTCAGGGTGTGCATTATTTCTAAAATGCTGGGAGGCTTAAAACTAGCCAGGCAGAACACCTTCTCATCCAGTTATACCTGTAGCTCCCTGGACGTCCACTGTTTCTGCAATTCTGAGCAACTTATTTTTTCTAACCAAAACTTAGAAATCTTTTGCTAACTGAAAATCTTTTTGTTAAATGATCTGTACCTGGTCTGGTGTAACTATGGTGATCTGATTAACTATGGTTATTGGCTTTGCCTCTGGCATGATGTAATTACATTTTTAAGCATTACAAACCCTGCTCTGCCTCTCCTTAGGGCCCAGAGTTCTTTGGGGTGTTAGCCCCCTCTCTACCACAGGCTATTAAAGGACTCCTAATTAGACCATCATTATGTGGTATTTCTCTATGCTTCACGCTCCATATTACAGTGCAAATGTATTTACCTAGCATGTATTTGATCTCTCAGCACCACAACAAACAAAAATCAAACCAAAATAAAAACACCATATGAATGTTTTGAAAAAAATAAGTATGTATTCAAATAAATAGTAGTTAAATTTTAAAAGAAACCCTGTGAGCTGGGCACAGTGGATAGCAAGGCTCAGTAGGTGGAGCAAGAAGGATTAAGACTTTGAGGTCAAGCTGGGCATGGTGGCGCCCGCCTTTAGTCCCAGCACTTGGGAGGCAGAGGCAGGCAAATCTCTAAGTTCAAGGCCAGCCTGGTCCACATAGTGAGTTCCAGGACAGCTGGGGCCACAGGAAGGCCCTGTCTCAAAAAGACCAAAAAAAAAAAAAAAAAAAAAAAAAAGAGAGTTTGAGGCCAGCTGGGCTACACAGTGAGACCTTGTCTTAGAAAAAAAGAAGTTGGGTTGGACACAGTAGCATGTTTCCTTTAATCTCAGCACTCAGGAGACAGAAGTAAGCAGATGTCTGTTTGAGGTCAGTCTAGTCTACATAGTGAGTAGACGAGGCCAGCCAGGGCTATATCTCAAAAACCAAAGCAAACAAACAAAACAAATGAAAACAGCAATAAGAAAAACACACAAAAGAACCATGTATCTACTTATAATAGCAGTACAGATCATTTTTTTAATTATTTAAAATTTCTAGCACATGGGACTAGAGAGATGGCTCAGCGGTTAAGAGCACTGACTGCTCTTGCAGAGGACCTGGGTTCGATTCCTAGCACCCACATGGCGGCTATGAACCATCCTTAATTCCAGTTCCCAGGGAATCTAAAGCCCTCTTCTGACCTCTGCAGCATTGCACGACACAGGTACACTCATACATGCAGGCAATACACTCATACGGATAAATAAAAATAAAATATTTTAAAAAAATTTCAGCACTCGAGAGGCTAAGGCAGAAAGAGTATTGAAAGCACAAGGCCAGCCTGAGCTAAATACTGAGGTTCCAGGCCAGCTGGGGCTACAGGATACACTGTCTCAAAGGCCCCCACCCACCCAAATATGAACAAACCAACCAACCAACTACTCTGGAGGCTGAGGAAGGAGAATCAAATGTTCAATGCCATCCTAGATGACATTTTTTTTTAATTAAATAAATAAGGGGTTGAGGAGATGGCTCAGTTGGAAAAGTGCTTGCCACACAAGCATTAAGACCTGAGTTTGTATCTTCAGCACCCACACAGAAGCTAAGTGCAGCAGTACACACCACAACTATAATCCAGAGGTAGGCAGGCAGAGAGAGGAGGATATGGTCTATGACTTGCTGGCCAGCTAGTCTAGCCTAATTGGTGAGCTCCAGGTTTAGTGACAGACCATGTCTCAAAAACTAAGGGGGCACTGAAGGACATTTGAAGACACAAATTAGATTCTACATGCCTTAATATATATTAATATATAATATTAACTAATATATATTAATATATGTGAAGACACCCGCTGTCAACCTCTAGCCTCCACACACACGTACGCACATGAAAACATATACACACATAGACCATACAGAACAGAATATCACAATAAAACCTCCATGTACCAACCATCTACTCCAACAGGCAAAGTATCTGCCACACAAGCATAAGAACTTGAGTTTTGATCCCCAGCACCCAAGTAAAAGCAGGGTATGGAGTAGGAGGGAGGAGGGCACTAACAGAAGTGGGTCCTTGAGCTCATTGGCCAGCCAATCCAAGCCAATCAGCAAGCTCCAGATTCAGTGAAAGACCCTGTCTCAAAAAATAAGCTGGAGAGCCAATTAAAGTGGTGCATGCCTTTAATTCTAGCACTTGGGAGGCAGAGGCAGGAGGATCTCTGTGACATCGAGGCCAACCTGGTCTACATAGTTTCAGGACAGCTGGGGCTATAGGGAGATCCTTTCTCAAAAAAAGCTGGAGAGCAATCAAGGAAGATAACCAATGTCAACCTCTGGCTGCCATAAGCATGTGTATATGTGCATACCCAAACACATACATACATACCTCCACAACTTACATTAAAAAAAGTCACTTTAGCACACAATTAAAGAACACTGACTAGGGCTGGGCGTGGTGGCACATGCCTTTAATCCCAGCACTTGGGAGGCAGAGGCAGGCAGATCTTTGTGAGTTCGAGGCCAGCCTGGTCTACATAGTGAATTCCAGGAGCTACAGGGAGACCCCCCCTGTCTCAAAAAGACAAAAAAACAAAACAAAAACAAAAAAAACACTGACTAGCACTAGATAGTTGGATATTATAGTCATTGCTAATTTTGTTAAATGACATTGTGATTATATAAAAATGATCTTATTTTGCATATGAGTAAAATTCCATAATATCTACAATCTATTTTAAAATAAAATTAAGTCAAAAGCAGATAAAGCAAATATGGCAAAATAATAACTGCCAAATTCAGATGTTGGATATAAAGACTAATTATGTCATTTAGTATTCTTTTTGAATGCTGAAATACTTAACAATTAAAAAAAAGGCTAGAAGCTGGATGTGACAGCTCATATACGTGATCCCAGCACTTGGAAAACAAGATAAGGAATGCCACAAGTTCAAGGCTAATCTGATCTACATAATGAGTCTGGTAAAAAAAAAAACGTAGTATTCTGCATCCTAGAATTTTATAAAGTACATAAATTGTAGCTGGAGGTGGCTCAACAGTTAAGAACACTAGCTGTACTTCCAGAGGACCAGAGTTTAGTTTCCAGCATCCACACAGCAGCTGACAACTGTCCTTAACTCCAGTTCCAGATCTGATGATTGCTTTTAGCCTCCCCAGGCACTGCATGCACATGGTGCACTTAACATACAGGTAGACAAAATATTCATATAAAATATAAATAAATCAAAAAAAGTTTAAAATAAATTAAAAAGTACATAAAAACTGTTGAAACAGTTTTTTGTTTTTATTTTTTAATTTTATTTATTATTTTTATTTGATGTGTATGCTTGTATTGCCTGCATGTAGGTAAGTGCACCCATGTCGTGCAATGCCCATGGAGGTCAGAAGAGGCTGTCAGATCCCCTGGGACTGGAGTTAGAGACAGTTGTTAACTGCCATGTGGGTGCTGGGATTCAAACCTGGGTCTTCTGCAAGAACAACCAAGTGCTCTTAACCACTGAGCCATCTCTCTAGCCCCAAAACAGTTTTTTAAGTTCATGAGAAACAACCAATAAATAAATAAGTTAAGAGCACAGCAAAGCACCAAAACATACTTATAAAAGTCCTCATAGAATCTCCCTTTGTGATCCTGCTGAATTGCAGCTCGATGTATTTCAGGAAATTCATCTGAAATACAGAAAATGAAGTAGGTTGATCAGACTGGAAAGAGAATTTTACAATGATGTTGACCTCTTTTTGAAGATCTGTGTGACTAAAAAACAAAACTAATTGTATCTATTATATAGGTTTTAGATTGAATCATAGCTCAGACATCTTACACCCACAAAGATGTGTTACTTTTAATTTTACCTGGGCTGCTAGCAAAGAAGGGAAGACAAATACTGCAAAGCAAAGACGAAGACAGCTTGCTGAGGAATGGAGGTGGGACATGCAACCAAAAACTAAAACTTGGGTGGAGTGGCATGTACTGGTCCTCCCAGTTACTCGGGAGGCTCTGGCAAGAGGACTGCTTGGGCCCAGGAGCTCTGTGTGGAAAATGCAACGAGACCCCATCTATTACCAAAAAATAAAATAAAATAAAATAAAATAAATCACTACAGGAGAAAGGTTACTCACCAATAGATTTTGCATCATAAAAAGTTCTAGAAAACAGGACCACAGTCACTTCATGACTACAGTTCTTCTCCTAGGCATGAAAAGAGAAAAAGAGGGCGCAAGTTTATTTCATCTACTTCACTATGAAAAATCCACGTGAACTCAATTCTAAGGGCTCAGTGGCTGTGCACAGTGTTAGATAACTTTGTGTAATAGGAAGCACTGTGAAAGGACTGAACACTGCTGGGTGTTAGAAGACACTCAAATCCTGGCTTTTAAACTTAGCACTATGTAACTTTGGGTAAGTGACTTAAGTTCCAAAAATGGAAAGCTACAAATAAGTAAGGGTCCCTATCACATACACACATTTTTATTGGATTATTCCTTTTCTTTTATGTGTATGAGTGTTTTGCCTGCATGCACATAAGTGTACCACATGTGGGCTTGGTGCTCATGGAAGTGAGAAGGTGGCATTGCACTGCCTGGAACTAGAATTAAGGACGGATGTTAGCTGTCATGTGGGTGCTGGGGACTGAAAACGAGTTCTCTGGAAGAGTAGTAAGTGCTCTTAACCACTGAGTCATCTCTCCAACCACCGTCATCCAATTCTTGATTAATCAACTGAATGTTGGAAACTTGATTGTCTCTGTTTTACAGTGTTTTTAGTGTCATCAGAACTGTAGTTTAAGGAAAAACAGCACGCTCAGTGGTGGTTTGTTAAGAATCACAGACTCCTGCACATTACCACCACCACAAGATGAGAACTAGACACTGCTGAAGATGAAAGTACACAAACCAAGACCAAGAAGAAGGACATAATGGTGCATGCCTGTCATCTCAGTACTTGGTAAGTAGAGGCAGAAGAATCAGGAGTTCAAGGTTATCATTGGCTACATAGGGAGTCTAAGACCAGCCTGGGCTACAAGAGAATCCTGTTTCAAGATCTGTCTCAAGATCTAAAATAAATAAAATAACAACTGAAAAATTAAAAATCATCATTGAGTAGTATTTATCCAAGGAGATCAGTGAGCAAGGAGAAACATACCTTCCACTTTGTAAACAGATCAGCAAGGAAACCATTCACAGCTTTCTCAAAGTACAGATCCCCTGAAAGAAAGTGAACAGTAACTTTTCTTGCTTGAAATTCCTCCAGAAAATAAAGTCGTAAGAATCACTTCATAAAGTTGTAAATAAATAGTCATAAAACCAAAGAGAAAATACTGGGTTCTGCTGTTTTTATAAAAGGTCATAAACAGCCGGGCGTGGTGGCACATGCATTTAATTAATCCCAGCACTCAGAAGGCAGAGGCAGGCAGATCTCTGAGTTCAAGGCCAGCCTGGTCTACATAGTGAGTTCCAGGACAGCTGGGGCTACAGGGAAACCCTGTCTCAAAAAGACCACAAAAAAGGTCATAAACACTAGAAAAAGCACAAAATTGGGACTAGAGAGATGGCTCAGCATTTAAAGAGCACTGGCTGCTCTTGCCAGACAGGCAGGTTTGGTTTTCAGCACCCACAAGGTAGCTAGTGAACATCCATAATTCCAGTTCCAGGGGATCTGACACCATCTTCTGGCCTTCTCAGGCATTGCATGACATGGGTGCACTTACATATAAATTCAGGCAAAACACTCATACATGTAAAGTGGAAAAATTGGTTTTTCTTTTGGTCTTTTTTTTTTTTTTTTTTTTTTTTTTTTTTGAGACAGGGTCTCCCTGTAACTCCAGCTGTCCTGGAACTCACTATGTAGACCAGGCTGGCCTTGAACTCAACAGAGATCCTCCTGCCTCTGCCTCTCAAGTGCTGGGACTACAGGCGTGTGCCACCACACTCAGCTTTCTTTTGGTCTTTTTGAAACAGGGTCTCCCTGTAGCCCTAGCTGGTCTGGAAATAGCTATGGAGACCAGGCTGGCCTCAATCTCACAGAGATCCACCTGCCTCTGCCTCCCAAGTGCTGGGATTAAGGGCATGTACTACCTGGTGTAGGCCAAAAAAAAAATTTTTTTTTAAGTTTAAATAAAAAAAGGTAGAAAATCACCAGGTGCACACCTTTAATCTCAGCATTCAGGAGGCAAAGGCATGCAGATTTCTCTGTGTTCAAAACCAGCCTCGTCTACATAGCAAGTTCCAGGTCAGACAAGGCTACATAGTAAGTCCCTGTTTGCAGCCCCCCACCAAAAAAAAAGAGAAAAAGAAATGAAAAAAACATGAGGGAGGGGTACTGAGTATTGAAACTAGGGCTCTGCATACACTAGGCAAACATTCTACCACTGGGCTACATCTCCAGTTCTACCAACTCAAATTTAAACATGGAGGTTGGATGACTCATTAGCATGTTAAGTACAGAGTCACTCTTACAGTCTCTGGCTGTAAGCTAAAGTTAAGAAGCAAGGATGTCTGACATAGTGTACCTTCAAGACAGGAGAACAAACTAAACTCCGAATATGATTATTCTTACAGTCATGCTTAAAGTGTATCAGAAGATGATTTGGGGTCTGGCGAGATGATTCGGGGGTAAAGGTACTTCCTGCCAAGCCTAATGACTTGTATTTGATCCCCAGAACCTACATGGTAGAAAAAAAGAGAATCAATTCCTACAAGTTGTCTTCTGATCTCCACATACACACACATATATGTGCAAAATAAATAAAAGGTTTTTTAAAAAAACATGATTTGGTAAATCCTGGGCATTTATTATCATTTGTAATTCCTCCTACTCATAAATTATCTTGGTGATGCATAGCAAAAATTAACGAATTTATTTTTTGCTGCTGTTGCTTTTGGTCCTCTTAAAAATATTTTATTTATTATTTTAATTTTATTTTTGGTCTTCCTGAGAAAGGGTTTCCTTGCAGACCCAGCTGGCCTGGAGCTCTCTATGTAGACCAGGCTGGCCTGAACACAGCGAACCTCCTGCCTCTGTCTCCCAAGTGCTGGGATTAAAGGCATGTACCACCACACCCAGCTTTATTTATTATTTTTATTTTATGTGTATGAGTGTACTGCCTGCATGTATGTAAGTTAACTCATGTTGTGCAATGTCTGTGGAGGCCAGAAAAGGGCGTCATATCCCTTGGAACTGGAGTTACAGATGGACAATTATTAGCCGTCATGTGGGTGCTGGGAATCAAATCCTGGTCCTCTGCAAGAACAGCCAATATTCTTAACTGCTGAGCCATTTCTCCAGTCTGTTTCTGTTTTTTGAGACAAGGTTTCACTATGTAGACCAGGTTGGCCTCAAACTCAGATTTTCCTGCTTCTGCCCCCTGAATACAGGGATTAAAGGTATATGCCACCATGACTAACCTGCAAAAATTTGTAATAATGCTGAACATAAATCTGAATTGAACGTATCATGAAGCTGGTGTAGTAGACACAGTACCTGTACTTCATAATAATTTCATCATTCTTATGTTCTAATTCTAACATAATAAGAGAACTTGGTTTTTCTGTGAGTGAAAGGAAAATAAATGAAAGATACCAAGTTGAGTGTAGTGGTATATGTCTGTAATCCCAGCACTCAGGGGGCTGGGGCAGGAAAATTGGGAGTTTGAGGACAGACTGGGTTACAGAGCAAGATCCTGTGAAAGAAAAGAAGGGGAAAGAAAGGAGAGGAGAAAAAAACACTTGCTCTTAATCATACTTAAAATTTGAGAATTCAGGATTTTCATTAATACATATTTCATTTCCTAGAATTCATAAAATGTTTCATTATCTGTCTCTCCCTTTATCTATGTAATTTACATAAATAAATGAGGCAGAGTACATATATATACAGTTTATATTAATAAAGCAGAGGGGCTGGTAAGATGGCTCCATGGATAAAAGCACTTGCTACAGAAGCCTGATAACTGAGGTTTGAACCCTGGAATGCATGTAATGGTAGGAAGAAAGAACCAACTTCACAGAGCTGTACTCTGACCTCCACGTGGGCAATGTGGGATGCACGCACACATGCACGTGCACACACAAATAATAATAATAATAATAATAATAATAAATGAAATGTGTATACAACTAAGCAAAATATAGAAGAACTGGGCATGGTGATGCATGCCTTTAATCCCAGCACTTTGGAAGTGAGGAGAGGAGGACCAGGAGTTAAAGGTCAGTCTTGGCTACACAGTAATTTTGAAGCCAGCTTAAGATACATGAGACCTTGTCTCAAAATACTAAAATCAAGAAAAAGCAGGCTGGGAATGTAGCTTAGCTGGTAGATGCTTTCTTAACATGTACAAAGCCCAGCATTCAAGCTTCACCATAGCATAAATGGCATGGTGGTAAATACCCAGTACCACCCTGGGAGTGATGTTACTTAGCTCTTAGGAGATAGCAACAGGAAAAACTGAAGTTCAAGGTCATCCTCAGCTACATGAGACTGTCTAAAACAAGGAAACCAAAAACCCTAGGACAATAATAGTAAGACCGAAAAACGATAATTGAAGAGTTTTGGCAAAAATAAAGCAGGACATACATCTTTAGAGAACATCAAGAGCTTAGGGAGGAGAGATGGAAGAACTGCTTTCGTTGCTGATGAAGAAAGCAACTGTTATTTATAAAGGAGGCTATAGAAAGTGCCAAGTGGTAATCTTTAACAGGACAGCAAAGTCAATCAGCAGCACAAATGCTACAGAACAGACTTTAAGCCAACTCACCAAGCTGGGGAAACCATTTACATTGTGACCTGTGTAATCACACAGAAGAATGAAGGTGGGGTTCCACACAGCAAGTTCCTACTACTGGGACAGCTCTACTGGTGGGAGCTAGACTGTGGGACAGGAGAACAAGACCACACACTGCTTTGGCAGTGCCTCTGGACTGTCCACCTGACCTTTTATCCTGCAGTCTCTGTCTCAACGTTTCTATTCCATCTTCACCAGCTGTGAAACTGGTGAATACCTTTCGTCTCTTTAAACATATGTTTTGTGGCAATCTCAAAATGTAGAAAAATAAGCCAAATGACCTCACCGTTACAGGAGCTGCATACCTATAGTCCAATGAGAATTGTGTATAGTAGAGGCTGAGACTGTCACTTGTCTTAACTGTTATTTCTTTTCAAAGGTGCTAAAAACTGAAATGTGCAAGTGGGAAACTATCTCTGTTCTTTGAAATGATTCAGATATAGTAATTTTCCATACTTTGTACTTTTGTTAGAATAGTAAATGATCAAAGAAATTTTTTTTAAAAAGAGATTACTAGGCTGGGTAGAGTGGTACAAGCCTTTAATCCCAGCATTTGGTAGGTAGAGGCAGAAGTATCTCTGTGAGTTCCATGCCAGTCTGGTCTAGTAATGAGTTCCAGGTCAGCTGGGGCTACAGGGAGACCCTGTCTCAAAAAGGACTTCCCTCCCACCAAAGAGCTTACTATAAAATGATACAAACTTGAGTAAAACAAGAAAATTCTCCCTAGTGGAAGTTATAATCAATACTTAGGGGACAGTACCATAAATATCAAAATCCCACATTTCACAGCTCATCTGAATAAATATGTAAACCATAGCCGATGTAGAACGGAACACCACCTGCAACAAACAAAAACATAATTGCATTAAAAAGTAAATGATGTATATACTGAGTTTCAGTTCTGCAAGATGAGTAAGTTCTGAACAGCTGTCTCACGACAATTTTAATATAGCTAATATGTTCAATTAATAAATTTATTTAGAATATTTAGGATATTAAAATTATATAATAGTTATAATAAATTCATTACTTTAGAGGGAAAGTGAGGGAGAGAAAAAGACAGAGACAGAAGAGAGAGTACATTTAGAGGTCAGAAGACAGTTTGTGGGATTCAGTTCTCTTTTTCTACCATATGGGTCCCAAGGAATCAAACTCAAGTCATCATGCTTGCCAGCAAGAGCCCTTACCCATTGAGCCATCTCACTGGCCCAAAATACTTAATTATACATTTAAAAATAGTGCAAACTCTGGTGTAGTGGCCCATGACTGTGATCCTGTAACTAAGGAGACTGGGGCAAGAGTATAATCAGTCTGAAGCCAACCTGAGCTACAAAGAAAATCCTGTATCAAAATACAAACAAAAAATTCACACAGAGAGTAAACTGTTTTGAAGATTTATTTTACTTAAAATTTATTTATGTGTATGTATGTATGTATGTATGTATGTATGTATGTTAATGAATATACCATGTGCATTCAGGTGCTCATAGAGGTCAGAAAAGGACATCTAATCTACCAGAGCTGGAGATACAGGTAGTTGTGAGTCACAAAATTTGGAACCAAACTTAGTTCCTCTGCAGGAGCAGCAAGTGTTCTTCCCTGCCGAGTCATCTTTCCAGCCTCATCAGAGTAAATTTTGTGGTTTTCACCAAAATAATTTTTTTAATGATGGAAGAATTCTCTTAATTGCTCTAACCATTCATTCTTTCATTCAAATAGTTACATGGGGGCAAGAGATATAGCTCAGTTGGTAGAATGCCTGCCCAGCATGCATGAAGCCCACAAAACTGAATGTAGCCGGGCATGGTGGCGGAACCCTTTAGTACCAGCACTCGGAAGGCAGAGGTAGAAAGATCTTTCTCTGTGAGCTCAAGGCCAACCTGGTCTACATAGTGAGTTCTAGGCCAGCTGGGGCTACAGGGAGACCCTGTCTCAAAAAGACCAAGGAAAAAAAACAACAACATATTGGCACATACTTATAATCCCAGCATTTGGGAGGTGGAGACAAAAGAATCAGGAATTCAAAATCATCCTCAGATATACGGCAAGTTCAAGGCCAGCCTGGGCAACTTGAAACCTTATCTCAAAAACTAAAAACGAAAAATCAAAAAAGAAAATGTTACTGAGGTTTTATTGGGTCTGGTATCTTAGGCAGTAAGAACTGGTCCCTGCTCTCTTGAGTTTACATCACTGAATAAGGTCATGCAAAACTCTGCAACACATACCAATGTTTCATGAACACTCACACAAGAAACACAGCAGAAGACCCCGGGAAAATCACAGAAACCTCAGTACACAAACAGAACCCAAGTAAAGATTTGCAATGATGAGTTACCAATTCCCAACCCCCACATGCTGGCTAACAACCGTACTAACTCCAGTTCCAGAGGATCTCACACGCTCTTCTGACCTCCGTGAGCACTGAGACAAGGGTACACTTATACACATGTAGACAATATACATTTATTATAAAAATAATAAAATATTTTTTTAAAAAACACATCTAAGCCAGGCATGGCGGCACATGCCTGTAGTCCCAGCACTTGGGAGGCAGAGGCAGGTGGATCTCTGTGAGTTCAAGGTAAGCCTGGTCTACATAGTGAGTTCCAGGCAGCGAGGGCTACAGGGAGACCCTGCCTCAAAAATGAAAAAAAATAATAATAATAATTCAAGTATCACTCTCCCACTTAAAATCCTTCAGTTGATTCTGACTGTCCTTAAATAAACCTTAACTGATTACACTGGCCTTGAAGGCTCTTGAGAACTGGCTCAAACCTGTTTATTCCTCACCAACATTCCCCCTTCAACATGCCCACAACACAGGCCACTACTACTGATTCCAGAATGCTCTTCACCTCACACTGGCTAAGTTTCACCTTTCCTGAGCCTTCTCACAGAAGCCTTCTCAGTCTATCTTTATAAAGGCCTTCCCTATTACTATCTCAATGCTCTCTCTTTCTCTCTCAGAGTATCATTTAGTTAGCAAGGAGATCATCCCTGATCCTTCCCTTTACTTGGTTAATCTCCTTCAGAGTTCTCACAGGTCCTCCTACCACATACAAGATTATTGAAATTGTGGTTAAGATAATTCTTTGTAAGCCAGGTATGATGGCACACACCTGTATGTGCAGCACTTGAGAGACCGAGAGAGGAGGATAAGAGTTCAGAGTCATTATCACAAGGCCAGCAAGGGCTACATGACACCCTCTCTCAAAAAACTAAAAGAGGACTTCAATCAGTATAGCGGCTTTGATCTCAGCACACAGCCAGAGGGTGCCGGGGTTCTGGCCTCCCTCTGGCATAGGGGCTGAGAACACAGCAGACCAACTGAAGAGTCCAAAAATCTGAGTCCCCCCCTTAGGGAATTTCCCAAATTTTCTCTGAATTCCTGCTAATAGGGATCCAACCCTTAGAAGGAAGCCTGAGTGTACCTGACTGAAACCTGACTTGGGGTTCTGTGGGTGCTCCTAAATAGATGATCTGAATCCATCAGTTCCCTCCAAAATAAAACTTGAGAGAACCTGAAACCTGTACCAACCAGCTTTACATAACCAATAAGGAAAGGACCTAGGTACCCCAATAATACAAACAGAAGCATACTTCAATTTAATTCTCATATCAGAATCATAAACAAAAGAAATTCAAATGTCAAAATCACAACGAAAGAAAAATGGAAAGCCAAAACACTGCATCCCCTTCAAACCCCACCAGTACTGTAGAAGAGTTCTGCAAGGAGAACCCCCTAGAGATAACCCAGGACACTGAATTTAAAAGAACAATAAAAAACATGATGAAGGAATTCAACAAATTTAAAGAACACACAAACAAACAAATCAAAGAGCTAAAAGAAGATAGGGATAAAGTTCTGAATGAATTCACAAAAGAGACAGAAACATTGAGAAGAAAATCCAGCCAGAAATGAAGAAGGAAGTGTAAAACTCAGTAAGCCAACTTGAAACAGCAAGGGAAAACATCACCACTATAAAGAATGAAATGGAAAACAGTATCAACACAGGAGGATAAAGTTGAAGAATTGGGCCACTCAAGCAAAGAGTATGGAAAATTTTTAAAAAACACAGGAATGGAATATGCAAGAGATGTGGGACACAATGAAAAGACCAAATCTACATTATTACAGGAATAAAGGACAAGAATTTCAAGTTAATGGCATTGACCAGATCTTAAACATGACTGTAGAAGAGAATTTCCCTAAATTAAGGAAAGACATCCCAATACAAATACATTAAATAGATAGGATCAGAAAAGAAACTCCCATGACACATCACAGTAAAAACACTAAATGTACAGAACAAAGAGAGAATACTGAAAGTAGCAAAAGAAAAACAAGTCACATACAAAGGAAAGCCCATCAGAATTACAGCTGACTTATCAATGCGAACTATGAAAGCCTGGACCAAGGTATTTCCAGTTATACATGACAATAGACGCCAGCCCAGAATACTTTACCCAACAAAAATGTCTATTATAGTTGACTGGGAAAGAAAAACCTTCCATGACACGAACAGCCTGAAAGAATACATGTCCACAAAACCAGCCCTTTAAAGAATACTTGAAGCAATACAGAAAACAGAGAGAGAAACAACTATACCCCAGGGCAACAAAAGAAAATAAATAAAGGTATAATTGAGGAAACACAAAGTTTGACAGAGAACACAAAAATCAATCAAAATGGATGGCTACCAATACACATCTTTCAATAATAACCTCGCCAAGTCAAAAGACATAGGCTAAGTGAATGGATTAAAAAACAAAATCCGCTGGGCGAGGTGGCGCACACCTGTAGACCCAGCACTCGGGAGGCAGAGGCAGGTGGATCTCTGTGAGTTCAAGGCCAGCCTGGTCTACATAGTGAGTTCCAGGACAGCTGGGGCTACAGGGAGACCTTGTCTCAAAAAGACAAAAAACAAAAACAAACAAACAAAAAAAATCCATCTCTTTGCTGTATGCAAGAAACCCATCTCATCTTCAAGGAGGACAGGCACTACCTTAAGGTAAAAGGAAAGAAAAGAATATTTCAAGCAAATGGCACTCAGAAACTAAACTGTAATACAGAATCTCCCAACTAAAAGAGACCCAGGGACAGATGGATTTATAGCAGAATTTTACCAGACATTTAAAGAACATCTACAACCAATACTACTTAAATTATTCAAAAAGATAGAAACAGAGGGAGAACTCCAAAATTCCTTCTATGAAGCCAGCACCACCCTAATACCAAAACCAGGTAAAGACATAACAAAAAGAAAACTATAGACCCATGTACTTCATGAAGATAGATGCAAGGATACTCAACAAAAT